TATGAAAAAAGGATAGAACATGCGCTTTTCTACAATTTTCCATGTTTTGCCATTTAGCTCGTTTTAAGCCCAGCTAGAACATAAACATCCCATCTACGTTTTTTTTTTCTCTCCTGGGCTCGTCTGACTATGTGTCTCCGAATAACACTGAAGCCTATTGGCTTATTGTGTTTTACCCCATGTTAGTTCATAGCACCCACTCTATCACCTTTGTACCTTGTACAAGTTTGTACAGATCCTTGGGTGAGTGGGTTCTATACGTTGTTGGATCAACCTGGGGTTGTACAAAAAGAGCCTGTCTTTTGCGATCTAGAGCTTCGCATTCGCACAGTATGTGTTTGGCCGTTTCTGGTTTCTTGTGACATAGTCGGCACATGAGTTCCCCATTGTACATGCCAATTTTGTTCAAGTGTCCCTTTACTGGGGCGTGCCCAGTCATGAACCCTGTTATCACTTTCAACTGGTTCCTATTCATTAAGAGTAGTTCTCCAGTTCTTTTGGGACATGGTCTGCCTATGAAGGCTTTTCCATGTGCCTGTTTTGGGGTGCTTCCCCAATAGTTGATATGTTGTTCCCGAATCCAGTCATCCAGACTGTACTTTTTGGTACTCCTGGGTTTGTGTCTGGTTCCGGTGTTTCTTCTGACCCTCTTTTTGCAAGTTCGTCAGCCTTTTCGTTGCCTTCGATCCCTTTGTGACCTGGCACCCAAAATAGTTTTACTCTATTTCGGTCTGCCAGTGTTCTTAGTTCTTCGATGCATTTCCATACCAGCCTCGACGTAACTTTCTGACTCGATATGGCCTTAAATGCCGCTTGGCTGTCTGACATTATTTGAATATGCTGATTTTCGACAGCTCTTTCATTGTTCGTTTTTTCTACATTGCAAAATTGCGTATACCTCGGCCTGAAATACCGAGGAATGTATTCCTATAGCATAGCTATGGTTTGTATCAGGGTTTTTGGAGAATACTCCTGCCCCAGTGCCTTCCTCAGTCTTAGACCCTTCTGTATACCAGGTTTGTTCCTGTCGTTGGGCATTGGGCTCCCTTATGGTGATCTCCGCTCTTTCCTGTATTAAAACCTCAAAGGGAGTATTAAAAGAGTACCTCTTGGTTATGTGATCTGATCTCATGTCTAGCACGTCTCCTGTCACTAACCTTGAGATACTCATGTGACCTGGCCTAATGTCAAGATTTCCCAGTGTATTCCCTAATCTGTAAGCGCCTAATCTTGCTTCCCCTTGTATCACATAGTGAAGAGGTGGGAGTCCTATTAGTGCTTCCATTGCAGCAGTGGGGCTTGTTTTCATTGCCCCCGTTATTCCGAGGCAGGCAAGTCTTTGTACCTTGCTAAGCCTCGTTATTGCTTTCCTTTGCTGTGTCTTTGGCCACCACACCAAAGCTGCGTATGTTATTATGGGTCTCACCACCATGTTATAAATCCAATATACCATGTCTGGTTTCAGCCCCCATTTTTTTCCAAAGGATCGCCTTGCCATCATTAATGAGGTTTCCGCTCTCCTTGTGGTTCTTTCTAGATGCTGGTTCCAGGTAAGTCTCGAGTCAATCATAACCCTGAGATATTTTACCTCCCCCTTAAGCTGGATGGTTGCACCTCTTAGGTTTAGAGGTCCTAGTCCCTCCAATTTCCTCCTGCGGGTGAATGCAGTTATGTCAGATTTGTTTTGGCTAATGGTCCTTCCGCCTCTGTCCATTTTGTTACTATATTTAGAGCCTCTTGCATTCGATCTCTTACTATAGTGTTGTATTTTCCCTGTGCCATGATCACTAGATCTACGGCATATCCCAGGGTTCTATGTCCCTTATCTTTGAGAGCCCTAAGCAGCCCGTCCACTACAAGATTCCACAGGAGTGGAGACAGCACTCCACCCTGTGGACATCCTCTCGCTACCCGTGCCGCTATTGTCTCTCCCATAAGGGTTGTGTGTATAGTTCTCTCCCTTAACATAGAATCGATCCAGGACACGCATGTGTCCTCGATTCCTCTGTGTTTGAGAGATATAATGATCGATTTAACGGAGGTATTGTCAAATGCACCCTCGATATCCAAGAATGCTCCCAGCATTACCTACTTGTTTTCCAGTGTGTTCTCCACCCTTTTTATTAGTTGATGGAGAACTGTTTCAGTTGATTTCCCTGCACTATAAGCGTATTCTAGCAGTTTTTCCAAAGTCTTAAGTACGAAGGACATAAGACTTATTGGTCTTAGGGACTTTGCCGTTTCCTGTCCCATTTTCCCAGGTTTTGGTATAAAAGTTACCCTAATATTTCTCCAAGCTTTTGGTATGTGTCCAAAGGCCAGGCTACTTCTGAGTATGTTACAGAGTCTGCTGTATAAAATATCAGGACCTCTTTGTAACATTATTGGATAAATCCCGTCCATGCCCGGTGATTTATCATAGTTCACCACTTGTTTGGCCATCTACGTTAATAAGCTGTAATTCCAGGATCTTTAAGCTGGCATGCAATGTACTTTCAATGTAACCCTAACATGCATCCAACCACTGAATGTCCGCAACTGCAAGACTTTTATAGCACATCTCATAGAGGTTACAAAGTGAAGTTCGGAGAACATCACACTAGCAGTTTTACAATACTCTCCCCCGAAAGTTGTTTTGAAACGTTTTGTAGATGTTATAATGTGAATTTGTTCTACAACATTATACAGTGTGTCATCAACAATATGGTCATCTTTAGATGGATCAAAGGTCACGCCACATCGAAAAGTAACCAACCGTTTTGCCGATTTACTAGACAAGAAGGCAGTCAACCAAATACTTTTTGGATCTGCCCTTTCTATTCGACTGACAACATCGGTAGTGAAAAACCTAATTAAAGAATATTCTCTTGTGAAATTCAAGGAAAGTTAGGATGAAACAAGAAACTGCAGAGTTGCTAAGGAGCCTTTAAGTTATCCTAACAACACCCCACATAGCACACGACTTCTGAAAGACGTCTTTTTTGTGTCTTGGTTTGGTCTTAATGTTCTAGGACGTTATTAAGACGTCTAACAAAAGCCATAATTCAGACGTATTATTGTGAGAGCTCAAAGGCGTGTTTAAGACGCCTTAAAGACGTCTTGCCAAATCTATATATTAATATGAAAGCTCAAAGACGTCTTTAAGATGTATTGCAAACGTCTTTTAATCGGACGGAGACTTGCACGGTTTATTTAATTCAAATTTAACAAGAAGAATCAAATGAAGTGAAGTTTGACGTTTGACTTAACACTACATTCAAGCCCAAGCCAAAAATGTCTATGGACCAAGTTTATTGTGGATTTTTGATTATTTTATTGCGTACGCGATTATAGCCGCCAAAAGTGTCTTTGGGCTATTATGTGCATTTGTGTTTGTGTTTAGTCTCTTTTTACTTAAATAATATGGGACTTAAACCAGAGAAGGAGGAATAGTGGAGTGTCTGTTACCGATTTAGCATGGTCCTGAAATACTTTCTACAGGTAATAAATTAATATTTGTTTATATATTAATATTCTGTTTCTTCTAAGAATAATTAAATGAATTGAAAAGTAAACATCTTAATATAAGATTTAATTCAGATATTCATGGAAATTTCGAGAACTATTAATATCAAAAGCCCGCTCTATTAGATAGCCATTTTAAGTGAAGTAAAAGTAAAATTGTCAAAGTAGGCGATTAAGTATCTTGCCTTAAATGATCTGTTATAAAAATTATTTGATTTAAAATTCTAAGAAATTCATTTTATGTTTTGTTTTAGAGATAATTGTTCTTTCGGTTTTTACTAACTTTTACTAACAAAGTATAACTTCCTGTAACTAGAATGCTCTTACCTAAATTTCTTTTTAGGAGCGACTATACGAAGGCAACTGCAAATCAAAAAGATAGAGAAAAATCGATCCAGTTATGGCTAAAGAGGAGTGATCGAATGCGCTACAAAGAAAATAACTCTTAATGACCTGTAATTAATAGATATTATATCACTAAATATTTTAAATTCTATTTTTTGCATTCTTTATAACTTACAAGGTTATTCTACTAATTTTAATAACTAAATTTTTCGACGTCCTCCATGCACGATGATACCCATTTTTTAATTATTTTATATTATTATGTACAGGTTATAGAATTAGCAGAATAAAAATAATGAACGTGTTATGTATGGCTTATTTAAATCTAACCGGACCATTATAAGCCATTAATGAGACATCTTAAAGTCGTCTTATGTATGGCTTCACAAGACCATTACAAGCTATTAATAGGTCGTTTTAAAGACGTCTTATATATGGCTTATTTAAAGCTTCACAAGGCCATTATAAGCCATTAATAAGACGTCTTATTTATGGCTTATTTAAGGCTTCTCAGGACCATTATAAGCTATTAATAAGTCGTCTTAAAGACGTCTTATTTATGGCTTATTTTAAGCTCTACAGACCATTATAAGCCATTAATAAAACGTCTTAAAGACGTCCCTTTTTGTAACATCAGACGTCTTCTAAGAGGTCTTATAGACGTCTTTAAAAACAAAAACTAGACGTCTTAAAGATATCTTTAAGACGCCTTTGTGCTATCTGGGACAACGATAAGCAAATACTTGACTATGACTAGACAGAATCTGCGCCTGATCACAGGCGTTCTGACTGGTCATTGTCAAGTACGGAAACATTTCCATTGCATAAGGCTGTCAGAATCAGCACTCTGCAGGGCTGCGAACAAGAAGATGAGACGCTCTCATTTATTGGAATATTTGTGTTCGGCGACTATCGGCTATCACCGACCGATATACATTAAACATACATACATTAAATATATATGCTGGTTCACGAGTTAGGAGGTCTATTAATTTAGGAGGATGCACAATGGGCCTGGTGAGGCTTAAGTGCCGTGTGGTACCCAACTTTCCACAAATTACAGATAGTATCAATATGTTTAGTTGTAACATAATTGCAATTTATCAGAAACTAAAAAATAGTAGGTACCTAAATAATTTATATTTTTTTAGGCGGGTATTATGAATAAGACACAAGAGATTCAGGAAACATTCTTACCTTTTAGGAATACCTCAAATCAAACATCAATCATAAACTCTACAATTACTTGTATTCCTCCCATTCCATCAGGTTCCAGTCAGGAAACGTATTATCTTTACCAGGTGTACAAAATAAAGAAAAACCTTAATACATCTCTTGTAGTTCGTCCGTTGGGTATGTATTTTTATTTTTTATAACCACACTTAATACTCGTATAATTTCATTTGAAAGTGACCGTAATAATATTTAAATACGGAAATATGACCAAGACGTGAAATAAATTTAAATAAAACTCAAATCTAATGATCGTTTCCTTCAGGAAAACAACTACTTCGTTGGCTAATACCGCAATAGGCATTGAATTATATCCAAAGGAAAACAGCTGAGATAAAAAATCATTTTCAACACTCTGCCTTTGATTTTCCTTACTAAGAAGAACGTCATTCTTGGACCGGTTTGTCCTTGTAAGGACTTGTGAAATAGACATCGCGATTTTAATCTCTATTGAAATCTGAAAAAACATTAAATTCACTTACCTACAGTTCATCAAATTTCTAGAGGCTTTCGACGGCTAGACAGAGAAAGCACTACTGACAGGCATCCCGACGGATTTACGCAATGAAAGTACACTCTGCGCATCAAGTATTTCACTATTTCATTCAGACGTAAATGTCAGATGTAAATTTCACTAAAACATTTCTTTTATTTTCGTTTGTGTTTTTTGCTCATTACAGTTTAATAGAACCTAAGTATGAAGTTTAATAGCAAATTAAGAGGCCGCGTGATTAACAGTCAATCTCGCGAAATAATAGCCAATGTTATAGAGTTTATGAGAAGAGAAGGAAACTTTAATTCACCGTCAATACCATTTAAAAATGTAAATGATCGTGTTGCTGCAGCCACAGGAGTATCTAAAAACACTGTCGTCCGCATTTCTGGAGAGAAAAAAAGAATCGATAACCGTGAGATATCGGAATTTTCATCACCAAGAAAAACCATTAAAAAACCAAAAACAGTTAATGATATAGATGAAGCTGCACAAGAATCAAATTTTATTTTTTTATTATTAGATAGCTATTTTTGTTTCTGAGTTGTGTTCATTTACAGGCTCAATTTTTTTCCGTTTCTCCTTTTTGATTTTATATGGGGTCAAGTTGTTTTTGACTTATTTCAACGTAAATCACAACAACACACTTTTTTAATAAAGCAAACAAGTGTTAAGAGGTATATGTACGTGTAAACTACAATTACAAAAAATTGATATGAAACCCATGAAACCACCAACAAAAATGTAAAGCTAGCTTCCGTACTAGAACATGGTGTCATTCGTCGAGATAATGTATCGTTTTGTTTAATAGATCAAGAAATGTAAATATTCCCCTGTTATTTTTTATAAAATTATAAGAGAAATAAATTTTTTTCTAAATAGTATAGTTTATTATTTTGTAGAAAAACAAAATTTCGAAAATTTTAGTAATGTTTCAGAAACAACCGTTATTAATAATAGGTACCATTTTCCTTAATAAGGTAGAAATAAAATATAAACTATTTCCATGATTTACAAAGGCCTACAAAAAAATTATAGGTATTTTCCGCTATCCTATAAAATTTATATTTTCTGACTCAATTTCAAAAGGTTGAAGGAATTCCAAAACACCTTTTATGGCATAATAATTATTTTCAATTCTACATACTATCTTTAGCTGCTTTTAAAAACATTCTAAGCAAGTCCAATCAGACCAATTTAATCCCTAAACTATTCCACACTTTTAAAATTTGATTACCTAAAAATATTAAAAACTATTTAAAATAACTTGTTTAGCAGACTGTACAATAGCTAGAAATTTGATAAACTTGTATAGGGATGGAGTTTGCCAGAGAATAAGTACTTACACAGTAAAAATGGTAACGCCATCTGAACTTAGTAAGCAAAATCAAAGATCGTTTGCAGTATCCAGTTGATTCTTGGAATAATCTCTTAATGATAAGACAGACTAAGATATTTATGGGTGAATATAACCGAAGAAGATCGGAAGCCCGTATATACCTGAACACGAGGAGGCTAAGCAATGTAACAAGGATCCTTACTGGGCATTGCTGACTTAAAGGACACCTTAGTAAACTGAGAGTAGTAGAAGTGGGTGTAGATTCTGTGAGAAGCTTCATTCACATTATGATTGACATTGTGATTCAATGTGTAGGTAGCACTCCAGAATCCAAGGGTACTATACTTAGAAGCATCAAATAGAAGAGGGGATCTACCTAACTTGGCGCCACTTCAAATCCTACAGTTCGTTGAGAAAATAGGATTGGAAGGGTCGTTATAAGCATCAAGACATTTCCTTGCAGCGTTAGCGAAAGAAAGAGACACAATAGATATTTTAGGTCGCAGTATATTAATACCCTATACTCAACATAACATAACAAAGCAAATGGTTAAAAAAATGTTTTCTTTAGTTTTGCTGTGAGCATTTTATTTTTTATATCAGTACATCTATTTATAATTGTGTATTTTCTTGTAAAATGGTATCTCTAAAGAGTTTGTAACGTAGTTAGACACTAATACTTTTGACATGCTTTTTAGGGATATGGGATTCAATAAATTCTACAAAAAACTTAAAGCCATTTTGGGATATAGAAAATCGAGGAGATTTTCATCAATTTCCAATTATTGTTGGTCATTATGATGCAGCTGCTGATGGACCTATGAAAGAAAGCGAAATAGACATTGGCAAGACTTATTTCGTTAATTATTTTGCAAGGTTTTTGAATTCAAGGTATTTTTGATTGTAATTATACTGGCACGAGAAATTAAAGGTTTAATCAATTTATATTCGTATTTACAAAGCATTTTTAAATAGTTTCCTACACGTAAAATCTTAATTCAAATAAATGATACGTTTCCTTAAATCATTAACACAATAATATTTGTTTATTTTTCTGGAAATAATTTAGGAAATTGATCAAAAAACATGTAAAAATTTCTATTTCCAAAGAGTAAAATTATGTTAGTGAAATGTCACTCAACTCTATTTGACATTTATTATCATGTCGTTCCTATATTTAAGGTTTTACATGTATGTATTTTTAAAGATAATTTGCTAATTAGGCAGCTAATTTTCAAATATAAATAAAATTTGCTAATATAAATCAAATTTAGTAATAAAAACTGATAAAATCATTTCAAATGAAAAACGTAAAACAATACTATATTATTCAATGATCATATATTATTAGCCATTACATGAGAGTAGCACAGGATATTTTTTAAACGACGATTTACAAATTATTATCAAATATTGATAATGAATTGTTAATGGCAGGTTTTCCCCAATTAGACTTGGGGGTGCGCAAGGCGGCACTCGGCACGGACAACCTCACGGGCTTATTGTACTACCGTTTAAATTTAAATGACCTACTCATACCCAATCTATAAAACAAATGAAGTCAGTTCTACTCCTAATTATAAATTTTCTTATTTCATTATAAAAATCTGTATCGTTATGAAAATAGTAGATAAAATTGTGACACGTCTTCTGGCTTCACCTGCTGTGAAGGGGAAGTCGTGTGTTGCGCTAAAGGTGGTAAATAAAATAAGGGCTACCCAAGTGTCAGTTTTGATAACACAGTTTACTCTGAGACCCAAAAGGATACTTAGAGTACACTAAAAGTAGGCTCAGTAGAATACATTTAATTCTAGGCAGTCACCTGCAAATGGGGTATTATATAACTGGAAGAACACTCAACCTAAGAGGTGTAATTACCTTGCACCTTTTATCCTAAAAATAACCCTGGAAGAGATGGATAAAGTGCGGGGTAACAACACACAGGAAGTTTATAAAAAATATTAAATTTATTTATTTACAATCACTTGCACGAAATAAAATTTAAAAAATAAATCAATTAATACGGATATACGGATATTCCAAATAAATGGTGAAAACCTCAAAGTTAGTTATAGCAGTATAACTAATACAACGGAATTTTTTTACAAAATTACAATCAGTGCAACGAAATAAAAAACTAATCAGTAAATACGGATGTACTTACGGTATTCCAAATAAATAATTAACGGGGTAGTGAAAGTCCTATTGACTCTGAATTACTTCGGATGATGAGATATTAAGTCGTCGAAACAAAACTGTGAGCAACCTGGCCTTCTTCTCTCACCAAACTTCAGAAATCCTAAAACGGTTTAACTTGGATGTTTCCACACTTGGTCTCAAACGGTGAAGAAACGAAAGACAACACTCTTAGTAACTATTTTATTTAGGTCTCGGAAACTCGGCACAAAAAAAAAGAATTCGATGGATTCTTTGCTTTATACTTTTATGATCGGGATGGTTCGGATTACGAGTGGTTTGGAGTAGGAAGTACCATCTTCAGATTAATGTTTACTTGTTAAGAGAACAAAAAACGACATTCTAACATCTGCCAAATATGCCCAGATAATTTATATGAATTTGAGCATTTCAAAGCTAGATTCGAATTTTACTAAATAATGGTATATTTCAAACTACGGAAGTTTTGGGTACCAGGCCACAGACGACATAAGAGCAACGAATGGACTAATTTACTAGCCCAAAAAGAAACTTCAAAGACTCTTATTGGCTTAAAATCCTTATGTAGTGTCACAAATACAGCTATCAGATTTTGCACAAAGCAGTGGATGTTTCAAAAATTTCAGGAAAGGTGTGAAAATTCACCTGGACAGAGACAGGCCAAAGAGTTCTGAAAATGACCATCGCCAAAAAACTTACCGACAATAGGAAAAATACTAGAGTACTAGTAGACCTGTTAACAGGCTAGTGTACGCTCAACAAACATATGTATAACATCGGCCAGGAAGTGAGGAAACTGAAGTACACTTTTTGTGTTAGTGTGAAGGTCTATCAATTATGAGATTCCTTAGACTTGGAGAAGAGAAACCAAGGGCAACAAGCTATGCCGGAGATCTACTTCCTAGTCTATAGAGTCTATTACAAAAGAGCAAACTAGATAAAATACTTTAAACAATGATTAAAGAATATCCACAATAAATCTGAAAAGGTCGAGGTGGGAAGGTCATATGGCCCACAGTCCTATTTTATCTATTCTAAAGATCATAAAAAAATGTATACGTTCAACTATGGGCCAAGAGAGAACTTTGTTACTAGAACTTCTATATGTATTGAAAGTAATGTGACTTGCGACAGGGATTTCGAAGATATAATTCTCGAATTTGCCGAATTTAGATCGCAAAGAAGAGCGTATTTTATTATTGTTAAAAATGTTCTTAAAACCATTATACTGCAGGCTTTTTTGTATTACGCAGTTTGTCTCTATAATTGTAGAATAACCTAATGTTCGTTTGAGATAGTTCTAATTAATTTAATTTTTAAGCTATTTCAAAAAAGGTGGAGGTTCTGAATTCGTCGTAATATTATTATTTTTTATGTTCATCGATAATTCTTTAACACGGTGTCCGATTTCAATGATTCTTTTTTTGTTAGAAAGGGGGGTACTCCAGGGGTGATCACATATTAATTTGGTCAAAATCTAATAATTGGGTCCATTAGAATATTTTCAAAATCTTTATTTTTAATGTATGTTTAGCGGTAATTCTTTATCACCTTGTCCAATTTCTATGATTTTTTTTGTTAGTAAGGGGGTACCTCAGGGGTGACGGCATATGCACGATTTTGAAGATGGTTTTTTAAAATTACTTTTATACTTGTATAATTTATTATCGTAGGCCCTAGACAAGTACCTACTGTGCCTATTGGATTATCCATCTCTGTTATTACTGCAAGTTGAATAATATTTTATGCGTTATTTCTGTTTTTTTCTTCTAATTTTTATTCTTTTTAGCAAACAATTTGTTGGTTATATAAAACTTGGACATAGAGAAAATGGCGAATGGACGGATCTGCTTGATGCTATTCAAGATGGAAATGTTGATATTAGTGGTCAAGGTATATCTAAAACCACCGACAGAATTAACGCTATGACATACAGTTTTGATATTTTAATGAATTCGTAAGTAAATAATCATTGATACATAAAAGGTTTTTCATAAAAAAATATCCAATATTTTAAATACATGTTTAAAGCTTCAAAATATTACAGTTTATTTGAAAATGCATGATAGTACAGTTCAACGCAAAAAAAGTAACTATTGATACCTTCTTATCTGAATTTTCACTAGATTTTAGTATGACTTCCGAAAAATCTTGAATACAATACATCATAAAATGTAAATGAGCAAACCCTAAGAGATTCACCAATAATTCTATATCTCAGTGACGGGGAACACAAAATTACTTTAATATAAAAAATAGTAAACTGTCAATATTAAGTACCCACATTTATTTTTATAAAAATAGTGTTCAGATATTAGGTTAGGACATTTCCTTAAAATTTAATAATAAATATACACATAACCAAATTTATATGATAGATATACTAAAATAAAATCTTTGCAAAAAAATCTTTTCTCGTGAAACATTCATTTAGTTTTTATTTTATTTTATAAAACTGAACATATAGTAAAGTGTGATGCCTTATATGAAAACAAATTTAATTACTAATTCAATGCACCACATAACATTTATATAAATATCCTCCATATTGCACTTGCAATAATTTGAAAATTAGTCATGCATTATTTTAAACATTATTGCTAACTTTATTTTCGTGCAAGTGTAATATGGAAATATTTATATTAATGTTATGTGGTGCATTGAATTAGTAATTAAAATAGCTTCCAAATGAAATATCACACTTTCTAATACGTTACAGGGTTTATATCCCGATAGAGGGCGCTAAGATTAAAAGTAGCTCAATAGACAGTCATATTTTTGACTTTTCCATAAAATTACTTTTTCTATGATGTACCGTACATAGTACATTCCTTATTTAAAATTAAGGGGTTGGAGAAGTGGAAGGGAGGGGGTTGACACATAACAGATGTCTGTATTGTAAAAATGTGATTAATTTGGAATAAAAATCGACCCGTTTTAGCATTTTCTTAAAATCCAATGGTTATTGCCAAAAAACAGGATGAAACTATTTTGAGTAGCCCACTCGGTATATCAAAAATGGCTAGATTTATCGAATTAGTTTATAGAACAAAATTTTCTTAAAAATGTATTTTTTACAAGATGCGGTACACAAGAAAGATCCTCCCATCGAAATAAAACTATTGAGCGCAGCGCCATCTACATATTGACCTATTTAAAATTAATTTACATCTAAAAATGAAGCTCTCTTAGTGCTCTATGAACCGGCTTTTACAAAATTAAAATATCTATTTTTTTTGTCATCGGCTTCAACTGCTAAGGTTATTTCGCCTCATGTTCTGTGTAGGCTTTGTTACTGTTTCCCAGCGCCACTTTAGGAACAGAACTGTTAATTAGAACCCAACTTACCAAAATATCCTGCCTGGGAGTTTTATTGGTACATCCTGTATACGTATATCCAGGAAAAAAGTACTCACTTTTTTCCCGGGGAAACACTTTTTTCCCGGGAAACGGGGAAAAAGTTATTTCATAAAAAGTGACATTTTGTTACCTGACAAGATAGATAAAATGTCAAACTTTTTTCCCGTCACAGAAAAAAAATAACAGCTGGGTAATAAACCTAAACTGCCATTGGTGGATTTCATATCTTTACAAAATTTAAATACAGTTTAATTGTGCAACCACTTTTTTGTTTTCAGGAGAAACATATACATTGAACCTGTTGAATCTGAGTCTTTGCGAGATATTTTCCTAATACCTTTTGATTCAAGGCTAATATTGGGTGTTGCCGGAACAGGTTTAATTTTATCAATTGCTATGACTATCAATAATTGGCTGCATGCAAAATTTCGTCCGCAAAACAAGGAATCAAAGAGAAGAGAATTTTCAGAATCCATTGTTTGGTGTGTAGGAATTTTTACACAACAAGGTACCAACAACAACAACACTATGTATCTAGTTAATATGTTTAGTGGCGAATCGTGGTAATTTAAAATGGGTGTTAAATTTTTTCCAATAATTTTAGTATTTGTAAAAAACTTTGTACAAGCGCCAGTATCCCTTAAAACTTCTTATGCATCGTCCGTTTTCGTACGATTAAATTCAGAATTGTTTTAAAATTCCTGAGTCATGAAAAGATTGCCTGATACCACTTAGATCAATGGTTCTCAAACTTTTTTTGTGATGGAATCTTTTTGAAAAGCGAAATATTTGACGGAGCCCTAAACACATTTCTAAAAAGTCCTTCGTGCAAAATCCTCCTTGCTCTAGCCTCTTGTCAGGTCCCTCCCGTTTCTTTGCGGAGCCCCTACAACAAAATCCTTAAAATTCCTCTGTCCTCTAAAAAAAAAGTCCTCATACCAAAATCATATACTCCTTCCTCTTCCTGACTTCTAAAAAAAAACCTCATACAAAAATAGTATACTCCTTCCTCTTACTGAATTCTAAAAAAAAAGGTCCCCAAGTCTCCAAGTCCCGTTATAGGTACTCCTTTTTTTGTTATGACTATTATTTTCTTAGCGGATCCCCCACAAAGGCTTTGCGGAGCCCTAGAGCTCTTCGGACCACATTTTGAGTAATACTGACTTAGATGATCCATAAGCAGAAATGGTACTTTACGCTTTACAAGCACAGAACCTATTTTCATTTTTTTTCCTTTATGGCCTAGGTTTATGAACCTAATATGCCAGTGTCAGTTCTCAATCATGTGTGTTCTGTGTAGGCTTTGTTACTGTTTCCCAACGCCACTTCAGGAACAGCACTGTTAATTAGAACCCAACAGTGAATGGAGTGGGGAATCCTACCAAGGCATCAGAATTAATTTTAAATAAATAAATTGAATGAAAAAATCCCGGCCAACGGCGGGATTCAAACCTGGGATCCTTGGATCCGTAGGCAGAGACTCTACTACTGAGCCACCCACCCCCAAACTATTCTAAAATTTTTATTTCATTACAACTTCTATCACACTATCCATTCAGCAAATGCAGCAAGAGGAGGAAGTGCATTAATTATTAAAAATAACATTTCCCATAACATGAGGAACCAGGCATCCAAGAACCAGAAAATCAGGTAACCATTAGCACCATTAATATTAACCACCAAGATACAACTAGCAACAAGAAAATTATCTCAATGTACTTAAAAAACTAGATAACAAATTTATAATCGGTAGAGATTACAACTCCAAAAACATCATCTGAACAATCTCTTGGGGCTGAGACAAGCCAAGATACTTCTGGGTGAATATAACCAGAAAAGATCGGAAGCCTGCATCTGCCTGAGCAAGAACAGGCTACTTATTGTAACAGGGATCCTTACCGGGCATTGCCGACTAAAAGGACACCTGAGTAAACTGAGAGTAGTAGAAGATAGTGAGTGCAGATTCTGTAAGGAGGAAGATGAAACACATTCACATCCTAACTGAATGTGTAGCACTCCAGAATCCAAGGGCACTATATCTAGGAGGATATCAAATAGAACAGGGAGATTTACTTAACTTGAAGCCACTTCAAATCCTACACTTCTTTGAGAAAATAGGATTGGAAGGGTCGTTATAGGCATTGAGACATTTTCTTAGTGCATTGGCAATAGAAGGGAGCACAATAGATCTTTTAGGTCAGAGTGTATTAACCCCCCATTCCCAACATAACATAACATCATCTGAGGTTCAAGATTAACCACAGTAAAAGAAAAAGAATTGCACCGAGCTGCATCAGAACTTGGTTGTATATACTAATCTTCTGAAAAACCCACCTATTGGCCCATCGACCCAAATAAGATTCCAGACCTTTTGGGTTTCTTTATTTTGAAGAAAATTTTACCAAACTTTGATATGGATTCAGACAATTCTGCAGTAATCCTTACTCTAAGTAATAATGTTATTCAAAAAGAAGTAAAAGTAGCAATTTGGAATACTAACTGGGAAGGTTTTCAAGAGGACTTAACAAATACTTTTCAACTGACCGTAACATTAAAAACGAAAAATCAGCTAGATAAAGAACTGGAAAAGTTTATAGTTGAAATCCAGTAAGCTGCATGTAGAAACAGACCAAAAGTAAGAAGATTAACAGTTGGAAAAACTATCCTGTCGAGATAAGAGAACTGGTAGCAGAAAAAGAAAACAGAGAAAGAAATAGCAGATGATAAGATCACCAGAAGATAAAAATATAACAAATAGGGCTACCTAAAGACTGAGAAGAGAAATCCTAAATCACAAAAAGAATCCTTCACCAGATACCAAGTTGGACTAACAGATAATAAAGAAACTGATAATTCGCTCTGGAAGGCAACTAAAAAAGTAAAAAATTCGTGTAAACACTGTCCTGCTACCAGAATAGCAGATGACAAATGGGCAAGAGACAATCAATAGAAAACTGATATTTTCGCAGACCACCTACAAAAGACGTTCCAATTAGATAAAAATCAAGACACTCCTAACGAAATGATCTATAATATTGGAACAACTTGAAATTAGGCTAGTTACTCCCAATGAAGTTACGAAAGAAATTCAGACAAACATCAACCCACAGAAAGCACCAGGATATGACCTTATTACTGGAGAAATATTAAAGAAACTGCCATGGAAGGTTATCGTTAAATTGACATACCTCATACAGGCAGCATTTCACCTTAAATGATGCGTGGGGAAATGGCTGAAGTTATGCTAATTCCTAAGCCAGGAAAACCTCCGAATGAAATGTCATCATATCATATCATTGTTACCAATTATATCTAAGTTATTTGAAAAACTATTATTAAAACGACTAAAACCAATAATTGAAAATAAAAACCTAATCCCTTCGCACCAATTTGGTTTTAGAAACAAACATTCGACAATAGATTAAGTACACAGGAAAGCCGATATCATCGAAACCGCTTTCGAAGAAAAATATATCTGCTCAGCTATATTTCTTGACGTAGCCCAAGCATTTGACAAGGATTGACATGCTGGCCTGATACAGAAACTTTAAAAAATGCTTCCTAGACAAAACGTTGACATTCTACAATCATATCTAACAGGAATATTGTTTAGAGTAAAGCAAATGGAGGTATACTCCGAAATAGAAGAAATTAAAGCAGGTGTCCCACAAGGTAGTGTGCTAGGACGGGTTCTTTACTTAATATACACCAGCCATATCCCTCAACAACAATGTGTTAAAATAGCAACATTTGCGAATTAATATTGGCAGTTGGCGGACCTAATACAGAGACCTCAGAAAAAATTTCAGGAAACTTGCTAAAGAATCAATCGGTGGACAAAAAAGTGGAAAATAAAAATAAAACATGTTGATTTTACTCTTCGACCAAATAAACAAAAACAAATAACAATAAACAATATCGTTATTCTGCATCACGACGGCCAAATACCTTGGGATAAACCTAGATGTACGACTTGGAAAGAGCACATAAAAAAGCGTAAAGAACTTGAACTTAAATTCAAAAAAGTGTATTGGCTTCTAGGAAGAAAATCTAAATTGTTAGTGTACAACAAACTGCTGATTTATAAGCAAATCCTAAAACCAATCTGGATTTAAGACATAAAGCTATGGGGATGTGCCAAACTAAAGTCCTAAGATGCATCGTTGGTGTGCCTTGGTTCTATCGAAACGATTATCTTCATAGTGGCCTGAAGATGCCAACAATGGGAGAAGAAATAAAGAAGTTTGCTGCGAAACATGAGGGCCAACACCACTCCCACGTCAACGAAGAAGCGCTGCAATTACTGGACAACTCTACACTCAACAGACGGCTCAAAAGGAAGAAGCCGAGCTAGTGCACTGAACGTTAATGTTAGTTCTAGTGAAAAATAGTGTATAAATCGTCACGCCAACTTGTGATGCTCTCCTCTAGAAACAATTAAGACAGCCCAATGGGGACTTCTTAGATAAGTAATTAGTTTTAACAGCACAAATATTATTTAAATAGGAAGTTTCATTTGAGTAATTTGATTTTTTTTTTATTAATTTAAAGTAATTTACTAAAACCTGCCAGAAAAAATTGTCTTCTAAAATCAGCTTACAAATCTTAAAATCTGAAAATCTACCAAAAGGTAGATATCCATTAAAAGTGGCAACCTTTGATTAAAGGCTTTCAGTCAAAGTGACATAATTTACATGCGATGCACAAAATGGTGCTAAAAATTGCACGGTTTCAAGCGGGCATACTTTTTGTTTGACGGATCTGTTGACCTCTCTTTTTAATTGCAGGCATTCGCGTAAATCTCATGCGTTCAATTATCATATTGGTCCAACAGACGCCACTAGTCAAAGTACAGTGCGTACCAAAAAAAGTAGAAATTAACACGTATAAGAAAAATTAAAATTAAAATTGAATTATATTTTTGTTATTCATGTGATTTTAAAATAATGGAGAAACCGCCCCTGAATGCGTTATTAATTAGGAATTCGTACTTTTTAAGTAGAGTAGTTCGCCCATTTTTCTCAAATGTTGAGAAACTAATCTATAATTTTCCACTGACTTTTATTTTATATAATAAGGTGTTGGTGCATATATGGCAACTAGTTTTTATTTGAATATATTTTATTTTCCGTTTGTTTCTCTATTTTTAACCGACTTCAAAAAAGGAGGTTCTCAATTCGTCGCGATATTTTTTTTTGTGTATGTTCAGCGATAATTCTTCAACACGGTGTCCGATTTCAATGATTCTTTTTTTTGTTAAAAAAGGGTTACTTCAGAGGTGGTCCCATATATATTTGGTCAAAATCGAATAATTGGGTCCATGAGAAAATCCTCAAACTCTTCATTTTTTATGTATGTTTAGCGATAATGCTTTACCACCTTGTTCGATTTATATGATTCTTTTTTTTGTTAGTAAGGGGGTACCTCAGGGGTAGTCCCATATAAATTTGGTAAAGATGTGCTGATGGCATCTGCACGTTTTTGAAGTCGGTTTTTTTAAATTTTTAATTTCTAATACTTGTGGACACCTTCATGTATACTAATGCACGTTTTATTACAGGAAGTATATGGAAAACAAGGTCCCTCACAGAAAAAAACCATTGTAATCGTAGCTTTGTTTTTGACAGTTCTTATATACAATTCTTATTCGGCGTTTATTACGTCTATTTTATCAGTTGAAGTGTATAGTATCCGTAGCATCACTGATTTGCTAGAAAGCGACTATAAAAATAGGATACGCAAAGGACAGTCAAGATGAAGATTACTTGAGGGTTTGTTTATTATATTTTTATTCTAACCTAATCTATATTCTCTCATCCAGATCTGTTGCCATAATTTTAGTTTGATTTTAGTCAGTGAATATAAGCGAACTAAAACAAATTTATCTTAGAGGATATCTTCAAAACGATATTAGTAATATTTCAGAAGGATTAATTAAAGCAACAAAAGGGAATTTTGCTCTTTTTGCTTCTGGTCAAGTGGCAAGAACTGAGTTATATAATATGACGAAAAATAGATGTAAAATTTGAAATTTATGAAATTAAATTACAATATACAACAGAGTATATGGGATTTATTATGTCTAAAAAAAATCGACTTTCAGAAGATTAATAAATTTAAGGTATTTTGTTTTCCTGTTTATAGTCTTAAAATCTTAAAATAGGAAATAGAGAGTACGTTTAACTCGAATTAGAGACCTATGCGGAGGATAACGAGGAAATATCTATCGACCGCCATTTTTTTGGTGTTGTAGAAATCGTTGTTTAGTTTGTGTATTTTAAGCTTTTTTATGAGAAGTTTATTAAAGGCAGTGATAGTATTAGGGCCGTAAATGTCGAAGTAAAAAAAAAGTCAAATACGAGTACTTATATTAACACGACTGTAAAACTAGAAATATTTTCTAACTTGGTTAATATTTTAAATGAATCATAAAAAATTTTAAAGTAATATTTATCAAAATTTGATATTTTCACTCATTAAAATCTGGGAAAAATATTATCGAAATCTCCTTCAATGACTCAGTAAAGTTTAGTCACAGAATTTTTTTATGTAATATTTTTATTACCAATTGTCCGTTTTAGATTTCCTCTTAAGTATCCAGAAAAAAATAGGGTTATTAAGACCGGAACATTATTAATTTAATTAATTAATTAATTTGGGATTCGGAGTTACGCGTCCCCTTTTTCCTAGCCTAGGCTTAAAAAACAAATTTCTTTTCTTTTTGTTTACTTTATATTTCTTTGTCCTTCTTCTTCTTCTTCTTCTTCTTCTTCTTCTTCTTCTTCTTCTTCTTCTTCTTCTTTCTTCTTCTTCTTCTTCTTCTTCTTCTTCTTCTCTCTTCTCTCTTCTTCTTCTTCTTCTTCTTCTTCTTCTTCTTCTTCTTATTCTTCTTCTTCTTCTTCTTCTCTTCTTCTTCTTCTTCTTCTTCTTCTTCTTCTTCTTCTTCTTCTTCTTCTTCTTCTTCTTCTTCTTCTTCTTCTTCTTCTCTTCTTCTTCTTCTTCTTCTTCTTCTTCTTCTTCTTCTTCTTCTTCTTCTTCTTCTTCTTCTTCTTGTAGCATATCCTACAGGACAATTTACCTGATTTCATATTTTCATCATATTCATTATTTCTTAAAAAAACATTTTTGACATAAGTTTATTAAAAAAGAGACTATTGAGATTTCTATTTCATTTATTAAGTATTTTCTATTTATTATGTTTTAGTATTATAAAAATGTTCGAAACAGGAGTCTACAAACACATTTATTCAATTATCTACCCAGATCTTCCACAATGTTCTAAAACAAAAACTTTTCAAAGCGCAAGATTAGCTGACCTCTCTACAGCCTTTTTTATCGTAATATTTGGATGGGTCGCCAGTCTTGGAATCATGATTTCAGAATGTATATGGAAGAAACGAAGCAAAATTTATCATAATCTGAAGAAGAGAATTGCGAACAATTTTGATGACGTCAACATTAATAGTAACTTACAGTGTAGTAACAATTTAAATAATCATTTTGGAAAACCCATGTATCGCATGTCTAATACTAAAAATACTTTGATTTTACCACCGTCAAAAAATAATATGAATCAATTCGATTTCTTAAATTGAAAATTATTTGTTGATTTATAGTACGAGATCTGATTAAAATAATTGAATGCATTTCTAAAAACAATCCTGGAAATCAATGTTTAAGGAATGGTTCCAATAGCATATTATTCCTCTATGATCATTTTGACTTTGACAGCACACTGTCCTTAACAAACAAAAAAACGTTTTCCTTTTTAAATCAAAGTTTAAATTTCAGAGGCGTGTCTTTGTCGGTTGTGACCCACTTTATAAACATTTTTTTAAATCACACTTTATTATTACTAATAATGTTTTTGTCAATCACATAAAAAATAATTGTTTAAATAAATAACATCTGTAAAACATGTTTTTCTTTTTTTTTAAGTACAATATATTTTTGTTAATCAAAATATTTGGCTTAGAATGCCTGTGGTATTTATAGAAATTACTTGAAAGCGTTGCGTCACTTGTAGTCATGTTGAGCAAAACCACAAAAAGTTAATACGCGCTATTACCTAAACACTAGCAAGCAGATGGTTGGTTGATCCTACCAACACGAAAAGCTTGCTAGAGCTTGGCGTTATACGCAGAGTTAAATTCTCACCATACCGAACAAAACCTTGTTAAAACACTATGTGCTTTCATCATGTTAAAATTTGTTGTTTTTATTTAAATTATTGAATACCAAGGCTGTGAATAATTTTCTTAGTTTTTTTACTTTAATAAGTATACAAATGTAGTTTAGTATAGTGATGTTAAAGTTTGAAGGTTTTAAGGTTAAAAAGAGTTTTTAGTGTTGCCGGCGATTTTATTCTGTAATCATCTCAAAAGAAAACCAGTCCAGTCTCATACTCTGCCTGTAACAATTTGAAACTACTTATTCTATGAAACGACACTGCCAGGTAAACATTATCGCGAAATTCTAGAAGTTGTCTGACTGGGTTTGACATTTACCCCCTCTATACCTACCAAAAGCCTAGCCAACTTCCGCCCCTGCTATATCACTATGGTAAACCAGGGGTGGGAAACTGGTATGCGCAGGCCTGGGATCAATCAACCACGTCCGCGTGGCGCTGCAGTCGGGTGGTGGGGTAGGTGGTGGGAGCGTAAATGACAGGTGAATATTGATTTTTGTGGGGGTGTCATGGCGTCTTGGCTCATTGCGTTCGGTCTGCCAAGTTCCTTTAACTCCTTTAACACTTTTAACTCCAAACGACCCTTTTACCGTTAGGTTTAGTCCGATTAGTGACAGTTTAACACGCTTAAATGTCATTTAAAAGCACCCTAAAATTTGTCCCGCTCCAGCCCCTGACTGACCGAACTCGCCTATTTAAACCAAACGTGAACTTTGTTTATTTATATTGGTGACTGTTGTATTCAGTTGTTTTCATTTCCAATTTGCTTAATTGATTTAGTTGACCACTGTTAATAAGCTTGTTTTTCCATTATAAATTTGTGCTTTTTCCGCTGTTATTTTGTGGTTTTTCATAAAGATGCGTAATTATAGAAAATGTTGTGTACCGAATTGCCTTGTGGACAACAAGATGCATCGCCTGCCTCAGCCTACGAATTCACCCGATTTATTTGATATTTGTGCACTTGCTGTTCGTTGTCCAAGATTTAATAATAAAACAAGACTACAAATTTATTCCACCTTTGTAGTATGTCATAAACATTTTAAAGAGAAGTATAAAGTAGTTGGCTCTCGTCGAGGTCTAACACCTGAAGCATTTCCAACGCTATTTCTACCAGCAGTTCCTGGAAGAGTAGCGGATGGACTTTCCTCAAATAACGTAGAAATTGAATATGTTGATCAGACACCTACTTCAAGTAAAGGTTCGAAGAAGAAGCAGACTAATAATATATGTTGGTCTTCTTTTCGAGAAGGAAAGTTAGTAATCTACTCATTTATTTTATACGTATACTGTGTATTTTCTGTTTCATGACATTTGGGGTTGCAAAGCTGTATCGTAGAAGAAGAAGCAGACTAATAATATATGTTGGACTTCTTTTCGAGAAGGAAAGTTAGTACTCTACTTATTTATTTTATACTTATTGCTGTGTTTGAGAATCCACATCAGATGCATTTTTTACATCTCGAGCGTTTTTTTTATCCACATACCTATATATAAAACATTTATTTAGTCAAAAAAACTATTTTTTACATGTCAATACATCTTCACGTTTAAATTATAAAAAATAAATATAGAATCAACATACATTTAAAATGCAATACAAAATACATAAGATACAGTACACTTACATGTCAACTAAACAAAACAATAAAAGAACAAGAAAGAGAAGAAAAAAAACGTCAATAGGTGAACAGGTATTCACGCAGTTTTTATTTTAAATATTGCCACATTTGAAGAACATTTAATATCCTCAGGCAAATTATTAAAAGCCTGTACCTTTAAAAAACACTGAATTTTGTGTACATTTTTCTTATTACCTGTTTAGGTTCATGAACATCCTGATTATAACTTAAAATATTTTGTAAATATACTCGGGAGATTCCTGATTTAATTTTAAATATAAAAAGCAGGGAATAGAATAGCAAATATTTTTTAACAGGCAACCACTGAAGCACATTCAACATGGAATTGATTGGTTCCAATCTCGAACAGCTCAGTATTATCCTCAGACCTCTATTCTGCAACTTTTGCAATCATTGCAACTTATTCTGGTTGAGCAAATACAGTATAGTGGCACAATAATTAAAATGAGGTAATATTAGAGTATTATAAATTATTATTTTAGCCCATTTGCTGAGATGTGGAGAACAGCGCCTCAAATAGTTTATTTTAAATCGGACACATCTGTCCCATTACATTTACGTAAACTGAATCACATGATCAAAGTTTTACTACATCTCAGTTGCATCCGATGTGGATTCTCAAACGCGGCATATATTGTGAAATTTCTGTTTCATGACGTTTGGGGTTGCAAAGCTGTATCGTAGATGTTGGACTAAAAAATAAAGTATTCCTCGGACTTATAATTTTTTATTAATACATTTATTTTAATGAGATTGTACTTATACTGTCTTTCTTTTTTCACAGCTAAAGTTCTTCACAAAATGATGGACAGTGTTGTATCCTGGAATATGTAGCAGCCATCCAGCTACTTCATACATAATACAATTTTCATATACATTACATTTTTTAAATATTGGATTTGTATTATATATATTCTTTAATAAATTTATTTTTTGAATATTCTTGTTTTTTTTTATCTAAAAACTGTTAGCCAAATTAAGATTTGTTCACACAAACTGTATTTTTGCTTTATTATAGCGATATTCGCTATAATAAAGCAAAAATGCAATTTGTGTGAACAAATCTTAATTTGGCTAACAGTTTTTAATGCGGATAATTTTTACTGTCAAATTTGAATAGCCCCGCGCTTTTCTTCTTTTTATTATTTTCTCTTCTTTCATATGGCCTCTTACCAGACAAGGACTTAATTGAAAAAAAAATCAACCACGTCCACCAGGTGCCGCTAAAAACTCTATCATCCTTTTTTAACATGGGAGATACCGTTCTAAGAGTAAGTGTTCTGTGTGGTAAACTCAGAGTAAGTAAGTAGTAAAGAGAGGACAGTAACCAATGTTTGTGTTGCCATGATAATATGGTCGAGAATTCTAATTAGAGAGAAATAGATTAATATCTCTATCTCTTTGTTTGTATTTGTCAGTTTTACAAAGCTTTTCTCAGACAATTATTCCAGTGTTTAATTTAAATTTGTTCGTGTTGTGGTGTTAAAAGTAATTGTTATTAATATTATATTCATAACAAAAAAGTCATATTTTGTTTTCACTTCATTAAAAATGCACCTACCTACCTTTTAAAACATTTTATTTTATATTCTATTTGGTCAACATTTTCGCATTTAAAATGACCCAGCGAAATTGTTTTACGGTACGCTACTGCTGAGAATTCTAAAACGAGTGAGAAAGCCTTCATTAGAAAGAGAGATACTGATTATATGATAGCGAGATTAATATTGTATTACTTTATGCAGTGGTGGCCTATCTGCTATTATATTATCTAAGATGGTAAATGGCCCGGTTGAGCTATTCTATCAGGCCGTTTCCAAAGTACAAGGATGATAATTATTAGGGATACTTATCCTCAAAGATACTCATTTTTTTAGAACAATAATCCTTAGAGATATTTATTGTGTTTAAGGATAATAATTTTTACGGATACTCATCCGTTGGAATAAAAATTCTTAAAGTTCGTTAGGTTTCGTAAGGTTAGTAAAAATTTGATTGTTCACAAATTTGATTTATTAAACGCACTGGAGTAATTATTTTTCTTTGGTTCGCACCAAATTCAGATCACAAACTTAATTAATTTAGTAAATTAAATAAATACTTAAATTATAAATATTTATCAGCTACAAAAACAACTTTCTTCTAGATTGTTCCTTAACCATTTTACGTATTTGGAAACTCTTGTATAGACTCCTGGGTAACCTGGTCGTCCACAACCAACTCCCCAGGATACAATTCCTGCAATCAAAAACAAATTATACGTTAACATTTTATTTAAAGATATTTTAATTGACGTAGATGGGTAACTAGTAAATTAATATATTAAGAGGGAAACTATTAACCAAATCCATCGAATTACGTATTTTCCAAATATGCAGTAATATAATTAGAATAAAATTACTCATTGACTATCTGTTATTAGATTATATTTATAGTGAGAAGCTACTAACTGGTATTTTCTAATTTAGATTATTGTAAAATTGGCTTTAAGTGATATTATAACTTAACACAACTTTAAGATGGCGTTCAATGTATAAGTTTGTGTAAAATGATCTCAAAATTTTATACTTAGTTCGAAATATATAGCGTGTGAAATGTGCTCAAATAAGTATCATTTAGACTGTGGAAAATTAAGACAGTCATGTTATAAAATATTTAAAGACATTGATAACATCAGTTGGTTTTGTGATACTTGTAAGCTGATAGTTAAAGTAAGGTTAAGGATCTTAAGTATATTCAAACTATGGAAGAGTGTTCAAAGGAACTAATTATTAATACAAAGCTGGCAGCAGTCGTGCAGAGAAGAGACAATTATCCCGAATTAAATACAGGAAAGAGACAACTGACACACAGTGATACAAATAAAAATAATAATAAAGTGTCCATCTATTATCATTAAACGACATCAAATCAAAGTAGTTCTAAAACAAAAGGTGATCTGGAGCCACAAATCAATCCAAGTGAGCTTTGTACATCAATGTAATGATAATGAATCCTTAAAAACGCAGCGGTCAGTGAAATTTGACGAGAAATACGAAATTAAAATTCCAAAACAAATAATTTCATTAGTGCTAATAGTGGGAATAAGTGAAGATAATCTAAAATAATCGGAAAATTTTGTAAGGAGCCTTAAAACTCAAAATGTACAGTGATATAGGCGAGGATGAAGTAAAAGTTATGCGGAAATATAAACCTAAAGATAAGAGTGCATTTAACGTAGAAATTCCCCTTGATCTCTTTGGTTCCATTTGTGGCCAAAAAATATATGTGTGTTTATGAATTTGTAGATGTTTTAAGGTGTTTCAAATACTGGCAATACGGTCATAAAGCTGAAAATTGTAAACATAAAGATATGATTTGTCCTATATGAAGCGAAGTACATCAGAAAGATATCCAGATGTCCAGTCCAAAAATTTGAGTGCTTTAATTGTATACAGCCAACATTATTAAGGTTCCTAATGTATCCTACAATCATACTGTTTTTGACAAAACTTGTCAAGCCATTGAAAGAAAGAAATCCAGAACTGTTTATAATTCATAGCAACCACAAAGAAAGAGATGTGATAAAAAATCGAAATTAAACATTTACTACCAAAACGTGGGATATGTTCTAATAAAAGTCTGTGGCAAATGGATTACATCAAATGCCAACTTTCCCCTCGCGCACACACACACACGCACGCACGCACGCACGCACGCACAAAACGTGGGAGGTTTGCTTACCAAGTTAGTGAAAATACATCAGAGTCTTTCATGTACCAATTATAGTAAAATCATATTAGTCCAGACTTGAATAAAAATAATACAGATGCCGAATTAGGTCTAACAGGTTATAGTATATTTAGGACTGATAGCGAGGACACTAAAAGTGAAAACGAAAGAGTTGGGAGTGTTTTGTCAGCCACTAAAAATGAACTAAATGTCAAATAGTTACTATTACCTCCTAATAATTTGGAACAAATTTCCATTTTTTTTCAATATTGGCATCCAAAATTTTGTATTTAGAACATTATGGAATATTTTTAGTTTCCTATCTGTATACAGATATAAGGAAAGTATAGGAATCATGATTTTTTTCGACCTCGAGTTTTCGACGGATTTTTACGTTTTGAGGTCCCCTGAATCCGTTTTGACTATTTTCGCGATGATGTCTGTCTGTCTGTGTGTGTGTGTCTGTGTGTGTGTCTGTATAACGCATAACTCATGAACCGATACACAAAAAAACACCAAATTTTAAACTTAAGCTTTGTTTCAGCGTCCAATGAGCTGATTAGATTTTGGGCAGAGTCGGAACATCTGGGGGGGTACTTTATAGGTGGTCATTTTTATATTTTATGGAATATATCTGCTATTTACGTTTGGAGAAGAAATTTCTTCAAATAAAAGTTACTTCTAATATAATTATCTATAATTTTTGTTCTATGCAAAATTTTCCTAAAATGGTCCGTATTCGAGAAATTTAACAAAATGTAAAAATAATTATTTTTTATAAAAATTGTTCAAATAAAAGTTGTTTGTAATATAATTCTCTATAATTTTTATTCTATACATAATTTCTCTAAAATGGACCGTATTCCAGATATTTGAGAAAATGTGTAAATTTCGAATTTTGAAGAAAACTCAAAAACGGATAAAGAAAAAAACATTAAATTTTAAACTTAAGGTTTATTTCGGACTGACGTAAAATGATTAGATTTTGGACAAAGTCGGAACATCTGGGGGGGTACTTTATGGGAGGCCGTTTTTATATTTTATGAAAAATATCTGTTATTTATGTTTGGAGAAGAAAATTGTTCAAATAAAAGTTACTTCTAATATTATTATCTATAATTTTTGTTTTATGTCAAAATTTCCTGAAATGGTCCGTATTCGAGAAATTTGACAAAATGTGCAAAATTCTGAATTTTATGAAAATTGTTGAACTAAAAGTTGTTTGAGATATCGATCTCTATAATTTTTGTTTATATATGATTTTTCTGAAATGGACCGTAATGGAAAAGTGCTAAATTAAAATTTTTCAGTATTTTCGTTTTCAATGAATATCTATAGAAAAATGTTTCGAGGTAGATATATGTGGACAATGTATATATTTAGTTTATCCTCTAAACATTTATAGAGATGCTGCAATAGGTTGTACAAAATAACCGGAAAAAGCCTATAATAACTAGATAGGAAAGTCATGTGATGGACACATCAGATTTTTTTGATAAGTATATAAAATTTAACTATGTAATTTGTGATGATTATAATTTACCTATAATGTCACAATATTAACGATACCCTAAATGTTAATTATCCTCTTAATTCTTCAGCTATTTTACTTAGCGATGCTTTAAATTTTTTCAAATTTCATCAAGTCAATCATATTCCAAATAGTAGGAATACCTTTCTTGATCTAATTTTTTTCTAATGATGATACAATTCAGGTTTTTAAGACAGCTGATTTTTTATTAAAGACTCCTTACATCATAAGGCACTTACATTTGATTTACATGTAATGAAAATGATCATCTATTTATTAGTTATGAAGAATATTTCATTGAATTTAAAACTCAAAATTATGAACATTATAACTATTATTTGGCAAGTGTAGAGACGGAGATGATCTTTTCCATAATAAAAACCTTAATGATTCAGTAACAGCTTCCTATAACGTACTATGGGGTCTATTCTGTAACAATTCCTTTATATTTAACGGCCTTTAAAAATATTTTCTTCTTTACTTCTGTCATTATTTAAACGGATATTTAAAATACATTAGAGGACTATCTTAAAGAAATCTGTTTAAATAATGACGGAAGTAAATTAACGAATACAAACATATTTTTAAAGGTCGCCAATATTTTTAAAGGCCGTTAAATATAAAGGAATTGTTACAGAATAGACCCCTATATGAGGTAATTAATGTTAATATATAATTGTTGCATATTTTTATTTTATTTTAGCTTTATTTTGTTATATATTTTCTATTTAACTAATTATATTTATTTTTTTTACTTAGTAATTTATAACTCGCTATAATGTCAATAGTTTTACATTTGTTATGGAACTTTGTATACCATTCTGTAAAATGGGTTTTGACCAGTAAATAAATTATAAATAAAATATGATTGCAATCTTACAACATCGGATATTAGACATACACAAGGCTAAATAAATTATGTTACGCAGCTGATTAGTATAATAGGGAGAAATAACAGCACAATGTACAACTGTAAGAAAACTGAAATTGAAACAAAAATAAAAAAAAACAGAATCAGTGATAATCGAAAACCAAGACAAAAAACAAAACCTACAAAAAAGGAAGTAATATTAAACAATCAAGGAAAATTAGCAAGGTAAGATAAATGAAATAATTACGAAAACTGATAAACTAAATGACAATTTACCAAAAAAGTTCTCAAAAGAGAAGACCTAAAAATAGAAGAATGAGATTATTAAGAAAAATTGTAGATAAAATACTAACTAACAAATCAGGTATTCCTAGTAAAACTTGTAAAATATATCGTGACATACGATAACTTTGATAATAGTTTTCTTTTTCGATACTTACCAACAATTTCATATTTATCACCGCTATGTATCAAAAGTGGTCCCCCGCTGTCTCCTTGACAGGAATCTTGTGTCCCTTTTCCTGCACATAGCATGTAATTAGTTATTCTAGATGCTCTATATTTCATTGCTTTGCACTGATTTTGAGTCAAAATTGGAACTTCAACTTCTTGAACTACAGTTGGTAACATACCCCCTTCTGAGGTTCTGCCCCATCCAACTACTGTTCCTGTCCTACCGGCTGGATCACGGGCTAAAATAAAAAGCAAATATCGATCACTCTTAAAGAAATATTTGCAATTATAAAAAGATAAATTACTGTAAAGCTTAAGAAGTATAGAAAATATTTTTATTTCAGGTTAGGATGTTGCCATGAGGTTCGCGGCGAGCATTTTGAACATCTCCTACATTAGGTTGTGTTTTTATCAAGAAATAAACAGTATTACTTATTAGTTTATAGGTGTGTTATAACGAATTTCTGTAGGAAATCAAATAATTTTATTGTATTATTGTTAATTTTTGCAATAAATTGAAAAACATTTAATAATTCCGGAAACAGTTAGGTATAGGACATAATACATAGAATATGTCTAGAATTTTCCGAAGAATCAAAAAATTTAAAATAAGAAAGTTGGTATTGGCCATTGTTACATTACACACCCTGTATAAAAAGTTTTTGTTAAAAAAATGCGTTTTTCCGAACACGCACCCATTTACGAGGGTAGTTTTACGGAAGAGTGACTTTTCAATGAAAAAGTTAATTTACTTTAAGAAATATTTTATTTTTCAACATAAACTCTTTTTAACTCTACACACTTAGCACAGCGAGTTTCCAATTGTTTTAAACCGTCCAAATAATAATCTTTCGGAAGTTCTTCAAGATACGCGTTTGTCTCTGTCATCACCTCTTCATTTCTCTGAAATCGCTTTCCATTTTTTTTTATTTTGGGAACAGACAGTGATCGGAGGTAGCCAGATCAGGTGAATATGGTGGCTGAGGCAATAAATAGTAACGGACGAATGGGCAGGCGTATTGTCGTCATGGAACAGAACAGTTTTCTTTATATGAGTATTAAAACTATGAAGATTTAAAATACGGTCCCAAAAACCGCACGCTAATTGAGCTTTTATAATTAACCGCATGAGCGCTGGTGCTGCTTACGGAGTTCAAAATACTTGGCTTATTGTGGAAATTATACATAAGTTTGTCAAAATAATAAAAATAAACTTGTTTATAGCTAAATAAAGCACATAACATACTGTTGTGTTTATTTCTAAATAAGTCTTACTTGTTTTAATTGATAAATTATTTAATTTTATCTATATAAAATACAAATTAGCTAGGCATGACCAAATTCGAAAAGGTTTATTAAATGTTGAAATTTGATAAGTACAATTTTGTGGCAATTTTTTTTTTTTTGAATTGAACCTGTATATAGTTGTAAGAACAAAATAAAACACAGTTGACATATTTTTTATTGTTGTAATACAAGTATAAAGGGAGATTTGGGAATGTACATGGTATTACCTCATCCTTTAAGTTCAGCTTTTCCCTTTTTATCTTACTAGCAGTACCATTAGTAAAAATAGTTAAATAATATTGGATAATATATTCTAAAAAGTAAAGAACAGCATCATCTCTAGAAAGTGCTTTATCAGCACTAGGAAAGATATATATACTGCCACTATTCTAAGCGTTAAGTATCCTATAAAAAACATTTACAATGACAAAATTGGAATTCAACAAAAAAATAACAGTAGCAACTCTTTATCTAACATTAAAACTCTATAAAAAAATTTCTTTTCTAGTAAGTTAAATTTAATGTATAAATATTGTTGTTTGTAAGTCAGGATCTATGACTAAAATTTTATATTATAGAAACTTGTAATAAAATAAACTACACTTCGTAAGATACATATTGTGACTAGTTTACAATAAATATATATTTAGACATAAATACATTATTTTACTTACATTAGAAGCTTTAAACAGACATTAAATTGATTTCTGCTTGTGTTTTCTTTAGTTTTACATTTGATTTGTATCCTGTTTTACAATCTGGAACGACGTAAATCTTGCTGTGATGTTTTTTGTCACTCATGTTACTTGTACTTATGTACTTTTTTTCACATTATTTTGATTCTTTTCACCAATTTTTTAAAAAATGACTTCATTTTACATTGACTTATATAGAAAATTGACACCGCTTTAATTTAACATGCCAACTACAGTCAATTTCGCAAACTTTATGAAAAGAAGGACGGAAATTAAAAATTTGACCATTGCCGATTCGCCTCCTTCTCTCTAGTCTTCATAATTAAAACTAATCTGTCAGATTTATGTTAAATTTTGACAGACGACATCAGAAACATGGCGGAAACTACCAATATAATCACCGTAGCGAAAGTGTTGCCAACCTCTGAAAAGTCACTCTTCCGTCAAGCCACCCTCGTATTTATTACACCGAATTTATTCCATTTGACTGTTCCACAGTGTATGATAACATTTAAAATAATAATATTTTCTAAGAACATTTTATCTGAGAAATAAGTTACGTCTTTGAAGTACAAAAATAATATTAGTTTCATCGAACATTTTATCTGAGGAAGTCATGTCTTTGGAATACATTATTTTTTTCAGTAAAATTATCTTTTTTAGGAATATCTGTTTCCTAAGCCTAACTAGCATAACATAGACATGAGACGTAACTCTATAAATGCGTGATAACCAAAAAATACTATGAGTAATACGACTTTTGGTAGAGAAAAAAACAATGAATTTAAGAAACCATGTTTCTGTTATAGTAAGCTAATTGAAAATCCTGCTTGATTTTCTTTAATTTAATATTCCAGGCGCTAGTTTTTTCGAAAATAATAAGAATAATAGAAATAATTGTAAAATATTACACTTTGGTAGACAAACCGGCCTAATATGCTTAGTAAATTCAACTGGTTTCCTCAACTTTAGAAGAGCAATGTCATGGTTGAAGGTGTCAGCATCAAAACTTTTATGTCTGATAATGGAAGAAACTGCTCTCATCATAGCTGGAATTTCTGCAGTCGTAGAAACGTCATGGTCGCCAAGTATCACTCGTATTTTCGATCTCTTTAATCTGGAAAATAAAAGTACTGATTATATTATTATAAGTTTTCCCTATAAAAATAGGTTTCAAATTATACCACCCTTAATAATTCTAAACGAAATAATATTATTGGTTAGTGAAACCTATGTTAAACGATAAAAGAATATATGGAGTTCTCCACAAAAATGTTTTTAAATTAAGCCATGAAAAAGTCATGTGTATTGGAATGTAAAATAATAACCATTTGGACTCAATCTAGAAGGGTCCATAGTCTACTTGGACCTGACTCGTATCTTTGTCAGTCATGGCTTACTTTAGAAATATTTTTTACAAATCAGTCGTTATTTTGAAGGCAACCAGAAAATAAGAATGGGATTCGAGAATTATTAAACATTTAATATACTAATTTTGTTTTTGTTATTACGAGTAATATTAACTACGTTATTAGGTACAAAGTATGACTAAAGGATGACAAGAATAAGTAAGTTATCTATTGCCCAAATTTGGTATAATACGTTATTGACGAAGAAAAATCTTTATCACAATATAAAAATAAATTTATTGGTAAACTAAACCTGAAAGGATGGATTACACTGTCCCAAAAATATACCAGCCAATTAGCCTAACATCGTTTTCCATGAAGACATTGGAAATGCTACGCGAAAGTTACATACATAAGGGATGAGGTGATTACAATACCATTACACCCAAACCAACATGTATACACCCCAGGGATATCTACACTGATTCAGCCCTTCACCTAGTCGCTAGCCGGATAGAGATATTCCTGAATAATAAAGAGTTCGCATTGGGTGTTTTCATAGACATAGAAGGTTCTTTTGATAAAACCATCTTACCTAAATAATACACTCTCCAAAAAAATGTTCCATAAACGGACGATAATGGAAATAAAACCTCCAGAGCTCCTTAACACAAAATTAAACTTTGCAATAAAGGTGAAGTACCTAGGTATCACCTTTGATAGCGTGTTAACATGGAACCTACACCTAAAAACATAGTCAAAAAAACATGCATTGCTTATTAACAATGCCACTGTGGGGCACATCTGGGATCTCTCCCCCAGAATCGTCACATGGACATCTTAAGAACTATGCTAACATTTTTATTTTTATTTTTTATTTATTTATTCTTACATTCAACGGCCAAGGCGTATTACAGAATGCGCACTTAACATTAATAAACATATATTTGTAAATAATACAATAAAAGCAAAACAAATTTTAAAGTAAAACTATAAATGAGATTGTATGAGTAATCTGAAAAAAACTCCAGTGGAGAAAAAAGGTTACTCACACATATCGCATGCGAAACAACTAATATATAAAGATGAAATTAGATACAAAAACATAAAAAACTTAATTACACTAAATTACATTACACTAAATATTTTAATTAGGAATATATGGATATAAATCAGGAAAAAAGTTTTTTAATCTTTGAGATGGTAGTACAAAATAGATCAATTTCTTTACTCGAGTCATTAACCGTGGACAGCATATGGTACAATGGAGACTGACATAATAAGTTTGTTCTGGGAGTGGGAAGAATGAATGTGCAGCTGTACCTGGAATTAATTCTTGGAACTAGGAAGTTAAGCTGAGCACATAAAGCCGGGCATTTAATTAAATGGTGTACTATTTTAAAAATGAAAATAATTGAAGATATAATTCGGTTTAGACGTCGGGGTACCGAAACCCAACAAAAAATAACTATTCACAAACTAAAAGAAATACAAAGCAACATAACAGGAGCCATGAAAATCATTGTTATTTATATCCGACGAAAATAACACGACTCAGATTGGTTGAAATAAAATCTGAAGTAGGACCGTCCATTGCTCTAAGTGAACATGAACATTATACCGCCGAAATGTATTTTTCATAAGCCATATAAAGCTATACAAAACAAATAGAAGACCCAGAAGTGGCAGGTATAATTCATATTTATATCGATGGTTTTATAACAGAACAAGGCTCAGGATGTGAAATATACTTCAGATCTTTAAACCTAAATATAAAATGTGCTATGAGCAATAATAGTGCCAGTTTTTTTCAAACTGAGCTCACGGGGATCTCATAGCAGCAAATAAAATGACTAGAAACAATATCACTAGAGGCAACATGGCTCTATATAAAGAGATAGCAGATAAGCACTACTCGCCCTGGAAAAACCACGAATTTAATAAGTGTTGTTACTAAAAAGTCACGTTGCTTTAGCTGAAGTATTCATCAACAATGTGGTCCTTTATGGTGGATCAAAGGTCACTTAATTTCGACAGGTTACCGTCTAACCGATTCATTAGCTAAGAAGGCAGCTAACCCAATACTTTTTGGCGCTTTCATTGGACTGACATCATCGGTCGTGACAAACTTAATTAAAGAACATTCCCTTATGAAATTCAATGAAAAGTGGAATAAAATAAGAATCTGCATAGTTGCCAGGGAACTTCTAAATTACTTGACTATAACTAGACAGAATATGCACCTGATCACAGGAATTCTGACTGGTCATATTACCAAGTACGTACGCATCTTCATAGCATGGGACAGTAAGAAGAATCCGCACCCTGCGAGAGTACGAACAAGAATATGAGAGCATACACTATCAATTTAGGAAAATGCATAATGGGCCTACTGAAGCTAAAGTTCTATGGTCCAGTAGTCCACCCTTCACACGTTACATATACAGATACATCAAATAATTAATAATTGGTGAGAACATTTAAAGCATTTTCACATTCTATGGAAAAAGTAGACCAAACGATTTAGGCTAATCTTATTTTATAAACCATAACCTGAACTGATTTTTAAGCGGTACGTATGTGGTAGTACATAATTTTCTACATAGGGTGGTAGCAAATATCAAATATCGCGATTGCTTGCGTCTACCAGTTAGTAATTGCTGTGCAACTAAGTATACTCCAATCCTTCATATGGCAGTGCGATCATGTGCAGTTAATGCTGGGTGTATCTCTACATTTTCTTCCAGGGCACAGTGCAATAAGTGTAGGTGCGAAAAAAAAATTATTGCTTTTAATTTGCTACAAAACTTGGATTTCTTATAATATACTTCAAAGAAAAACATTAATGATGGGTTGAGTTTAGGTTGATTTTGCAAAACATGATCAAAGATCTCTTTCTTTTAAGCCATTTTTATTTCAATAATTCTTACACCTGCTTTTAAACTTCTATCACTTCGACGAGCAATTGATGTCGGTTGTACTTTAATTCTTGTTGATGTTTTACGTAGCTTAAAACAAGTTTACATTGTGGTGCTCGCGTCTCGTTTGGCGAGCACACAAAGAACTTCCAACATTTTATGACATTTTTGTTGCTCTTTCATGTTTGACGTTTTATGTCATTTTTTTTTATTTTTTTGGTTATATGCAATGTCTTGAGAGTGACAACCTCTGGTCTCTTCTTTTTCAATAACGTACCTGTTATTAATGAAGCTATGCTTTTCCATTTGTAAATCTTTACAGGATTTTCCACCAGGATAGAAGAACGAAGTAGACAAGAAATTGAGAGCCAGCCATATATAAAGGACCGCCGTTGCTATGCTGGGACAGTAGAAAGACAGCAGACAGTAAACAAGCATTTTCCAAACATCACGAACAAATCCAAATTTTATAATTCAGATTATACCATTTTTATATAGTTTTTCTGATTAAATTTTTTTTTTCTAAATTAGTTGTAGCCATTAATAATAATAATAATAATAATAATGTGTTTATTAGCCAAAAAAATACAGAAATTTACAACTAAGAGTCAATAATAATTTTCTAACAAACAAAAGACAAAGCCACAGAAGGAGAATTTTAAAAATTCTACTTGTGCGTGGCACGAAATAATAATGGTAATTAATTACGTAAATATAAATAAATCGGTATTAATAAATGTCTAAATCGGTATACATGTCTAATTCGGTATATGTCTAAAACGGTATATATGTCTATGTCTAAATCGGTATATCAGTTTAAATTGATAGTGTAAATTGATACACTACTTTAGACCAGTATGTAAGTAAAATATATATATATATAAGAGTAAATAATAAATAATTTGACTCGGTATGTATTATTTTGTTTATACACATAATTTTTTGAATATACTTTTATTTTCTTTGGATTAATTTATTTTTGATTTATTATGTTCTCAATATTTGACCTGGATTGACATAAAATCCATTTTTTAAGATTCTTTTTAAAAGAATAAAGACTTTTCTCTTTTTGTATTTCGATAGGAATGAAATTATAAATTCGAGGAGCCAAATATGAAGAAGATCTACAGCCTATTAATTTGTTTTTTCGGGGTAAGTAATATTTATTTGCTTTATTTCTAGTTTGGTGCAGATGTCTGGTTTTATCGAGTTTAGTCTTCCCCTTATATATATTTATCGCTATTTTCCAAAAATAAATTTGCCTAAGGTCAAATACCTTTTGTTCTGAAAATAAAATATCGCTGGGATAATTTCTCGATTTGTTGTGGATTATCTTTAATCTCCAAAGGATTTAGTGGTCGCCGACTGGGACCACTAAATACATACTTAGAAACATTTACGTATTATCATTGTTACATATTACGTTAATAATTTATGAAAGTTCCTCAATATACATTCTAAATTACTTTTTTTGGAAACCTATGGTTTTCTTAAATTTCTGTAGTTCTAACTGGTATTCTTCAAGATATTTGCTATCTTTTTTTTCAGTAGGTTCGGCGAGGTCTTGTGGTACACTAGTATTTTCATTTTCATTTCTCATCGGCTGATTAAACTTTTTCTACAGGATTATATTGTTTTCTTTGAATAATGTTGCAACATTAATATTTGTATCCATATCCTCAAAAAAGGTTGTTGACACTGTTGCCCATCAAAACTTTTTGCAGCGTTTACAACAAACTTGTCATCAAAATCTTTTGACAAATAGTGTATCTGTGTGTGTTTGTTGCTAACTTCTAACTGCCGACAGTTTTTATTTCATAATGCCCGAGTTTGATCAGCAAATATGCGCAGGCAAGCTAAAATAGATTTCGCTATGCTCCGGAACACAATATAGTTTTTCAAATTCTCACACGATACGGCGTTAATTTAACGTGATCGTGCTACTCATATGAGGGATTTGAGTGTACTTGGTTGCTGAGCAATTACTAACTGGTAATCGCGAGCAACTGAGGTTAAAAAGGAGTTAAATATACGCTATAGTCAGAAGACAAGGATGGAAACATAATGGCGTGCCAAGGTCAAGCATAGGTAAGAGTGAAACAACCAGTAATCATCTAAGGATAAAACAATCAACAGGCACTAAAGGAAAGTTTGTCTATTGGTAGTCAGCTACTTCAAATGACCGATCCAATCGAAAAGATAATAGTATCTAGATCAAATTATCTATTCAAAGGTATTGTTGAAAACAAATGGAGCTGCAGTGTAGTATCAATATTAATATGAATATGATTATGAGCTTAGTATGCCTAAACGCATTTCTCATATGTACCAGCTACGACGGGATTTTTTTAAGTCTCAAAGTAGTTGTTAGGGGATGGTCTTGATAATTTGTAGGGTGATTTTTAAGATTTGTTTTCGAATTTTTAAATTATTTTCTATCATTATAATAGTCCAGTAATATTAACACAAATAAACGAAAACCAGTAACAATTAAAAAAGAACAATGTCTATATAGGGAAATGTGACATGTAAACCCCAATGTCCCTTTTTTTTGATCCATATTAATTCATAGTACCCACTCTGTCATCTTAGTCCCTTGTACAAGTTTGTGTTGACAGGGTGTGTTCTATAGGTTATCCAAAAAGTGCCTTTCTCCTATGTTTGATTGTTTCTGGTTCCTTGTGACGGAGGCGACACCATAGGTTTCCATTATACCCACCTATTTTGTTTACGTGTCCCTTTACTGGGGCATGTCCAGTCATGAGTCCTGTTAGGGTTTTTAACTGGTCCCTTTTCATGAAGAGTAGTTTCCCTGTTCTTTTTGAACACAGTCTTCCTATAAAGATCTTCACATGTGCTTGTTTTGGGATATTCTTCCAATAGTTATTGTATTTTCTTCGAATCCAGTCATTTATGAAACCTCGAACTCTACGTGTTGATACTCCAAGATTTTTAGCTGATTTCGGTATTTCTTCTGGCCCCTTCTTTGCGAGTTCGTCAGCCTTTTCATTACTTTCGATTCCTTGATGACCTGGTACCCAAACTAGTTTGACTTTATTTCGGTCTGCCAGTGTTCTCAGTTCTTCGATGCAATCCCACACCAGCCTAGACGTCACTTTCTAAATTGATATGGCTTTAAGGGCCGCCTGGTTGTCTGACATAATTTGTATCTGTCTATTTAAAATAGCTCTTCTATTGTTCGTTTTTGGACATTGCAAGATTGCATAAACCTCAGTATGAAATACTGAAGCGTGTCTTTATATAACTAAGATTGGTGTTTTTGGAAAATACTCCAGCCCCAGTGCCTTTCACAGCATTTGATCCGTCTTTGTACCAGGTATGTTCCTGTCGTTAAGCACTGGGTTCCCTTCTGTTCCGTTCTATTTTGTATTAAAACTTCGACTGGAGCGTTGAAGAAGTAACGTTTGTTTATGTGATCTGTTCTCATTTTCAGGACGTCCCCTATCACTAACCTTATGATACTTATGTGACCTGATCTCATGGTAAGATTTCTTAAGGTGTTCCCAATCTGTAAGCACCTAATCTTGCCTCCCCTTGTATTACAAAGTGAAGTGGTGACAAGCCTATAAGTGCTTCCATTGCTGCTGTGGGGGTTGTTCTCAGGCGAGTCTTTGTACCTTGCTTAGTCTCGTTATTGTTGCTCTTTGTTATGTCTTTGGCCACCACACTAGAGCTGCGTATGTTATTATCGGTCCTACCACCATATTGTATGTCCAGTATACCACACTTCGTTAAGACTACAATTTTTCCAAAAGAGCGTCTTGCCATAACTAGTGATGTTTCCGCTTTTCTTGTTGCTCTCTCCAAATGATGAGTCCAGGTTAGTTTTGAGTCAATTGTAATCCCAAAATACTTTACCTCTCCCTTTAGTTGGATGTTTTCACTTTTTCTTCTGCATCCACAAAAGTTAAAACAAATCCAGGCTGAGAGAAGAAAAATGAGTGCCCCGGCCAGAAATCAAACCGGCATCTCCGAATGTATCCCTCGATGTCTTTACCAATTTGGTCACACACACATAGCTATGACAGTCAAAGTGAATTTTAAAACAGCAGATGCTAACTGTCCCCTCTCCTCCTCCCCAGCTTGTAAATATAAAGAATAAAAGGAGATAATATCGGCTAAAGATCTTTTAACTAAAATACCTATGCATTTGGAAATTCAATAATTTAAACACCAATTGTCCCAACGAAATTAAAAAATCCATCAACGCATCCCCAAAGTAAAAATCAACCAAAGAAAAAATAAAAAAGCTGAGAGGGTAGAGTATGTATACTCGACCAGAGTTGGAATCTGATGTTTTTAAATTTTAGAGTTATTTTCTGTGTGATTTAGTTGAAAAATGGTAAAAAAAATTATGTTTTTTAAGAATATATGAATATTAAATGTATTTTAGTTACACACAGTTTTATTTTTCAAACACTCTATAAAATTAAAAAAATTACATTGCATACTTTAGAATTTTGAAACTAACAACCAACAGTTCTAAAAATCACAAATTTGCCGTTATTTATAATAATTGAAATCAGTGGAATCAGTAAATAATCAAATCATTATTATTATTGAATGAATATTTAATATTGTTATTATATTGTAAGTTAAAATAAGTATATTGAAATTATTATAGATTAGTCATGTATAAATTAAATTTCTAGAATTAATTTATTTATGTACTTACTTTCTCACGCAATGTGCGGCAGTAATGACGAATTCTTCTGTTAAAAGCGAAGCTCCACAATGATAGTGACCATCGTATACTATCCTCGCTATCCAGGGATAACGGTTAACTCCGGTAGGACGACCACCAACAATTCGGTTTTCTTGATTTGACACGCCACATTCTAATTAACATAAAAATCCTGATCACATCTACGGAATATACTTAGTAGTGTAGTGGCTACCAGTTGATTACAAATAAAATGATTAAGGGCGGCGTCTGGCCATATCACGAAAACGGTTTATCTGGACAATTACGCAATTGTTTTTTTTAAGGGTGAGATTACAGAATGTCTGCAACTTTGCAGATCTACAACTTTGCAGATCTGCAAATATCGCGGTTTATTACCCCCAACAACACTAAACTCAAATTTGGAATACGAAAACTTGATACTTGCATGTGTAAGTCAGTCATATTTGCAGATTTTCAAATATGCCGCCATATTTGCAGATCTGCAAAGTTGCAGACGTTCTGTAATCTCACCCTTAATCTTTAAAGGCAAATACTTAAAAATGTTTCTTTGTAACTTTCCGCTATGTCACATGATATATCACCAAATATAATCTATATAATTTTAAACCTAGCACTAAAGAAAACTAAAAAAGTATTTTAAAGTTTGATGTCTTTCATTATTTTTATGTATTAGATGTAGTGGTTGTAACGGAAAAAAACATGTAAATAATATGTTTAGATTTAAAGATAATTCCTAGGTAAATCAATGACAAAGTCATTTTTTAAGCACATTAAAATAACTCTGTTTCTTAAGACGTCTTTACAACCCCTAGACACACTTCTTGAACGGTTTACAATATTAAAATAAATACCAGGAAGTATATTTTTCCCGACAGCAACGTTTAAAGTCAACCGCGCATATGCGGCAGATTTCTATGGGCGAACGCTAACCTTAAGAGTAACCCCAAAATAATTCCACTGACGCATTTAATTTATTAGTCGTGAAAAAAGTAATTTCCATTCAATTTCTTGTGTTACCAAATGATGTGGAATGTTTGTACTGTTGGAAACTATATAGATAAAATAATTATTCAACTCACCACACGAGCAATTTTTTGCTTTAATGAGATCGTCATTTCCTGTGTCGTCGGAGTCACCAAAAACAGAAAATTCTCCTGCCGTTGCTCCACCAAGTAGATTAGTTAAACTGAACAGTTGATTGAATAAAAATCTACCCCTTTTTGTTCGAGTTTTATTTGTAATAAGGTCCTAAAAAGAATATAGGTATAAGTATTTATTAACTAGGTATTTAAACTGATAAGGAAAACAACTATTAATATCATATTAAATAGTTTATAAGATTTAAAAGATGCAACTAATTTCGGGTAACACACTATGATCGTGCTGTTATAACAGCAAATAATACAAGTGGTACTGTAGTCCGACATACATTGATACATATGTGATAAACTAAACCTAACTCATAACTGCCAAAGCGACCTAATAGTCTCAGAAGGAGAAGAGTTTTTACTTTAAAATGTAAAGTCGAAAAACCAAGAAATCAATGGTACTATGGAACTTTTAGGTGGAGTAGGTAACTTTTTATGAGGAGCTACTGGAGAAGCGAGAATAGTTATTTACGTAACAAGTCCCGAAAGTGATATTTTACGGGAGTAGTAGGCAATTTCCAGGACGAGCCGTAGGCTGGTTCTTGATTTTTCACCGAATAACATCATGCAACCACCGTCTGAAGGTCCATCTCTGGATCCTTCACTAAGAGGATTTATGTTCCAAGATTAGTTTCCCGTTTTTATATTTCTCATATTTTTTTTGTGTGTGAATAATTTTATGGTATTTATTGTGTTTGTTTTATTTGTATGCAGTGGGACTTGAAATACCTTAACGACATAATGTATCTTGTGATTTAATATCAAAAATATCATCGAGGATAACATATCATAGGTTAGTAAGCAGAGTCAAACTGAAAAAAATATTGTTTTCTAAATATTATTTGTAGATTTCCAAAGAATTCGGAAAACTAAATTAATGGATACAGAGAAAAGTAGCTGCTTCTATTCGCTTTTGCTATATTTCCTGCAGCCACGAGCACTGAATTAGTTCGATATCAGATGGGAAAATGAATTTTAATAAAAACGTTCCGAAACTGAGAGTCAGCTTAACCCCCCCCCCCTAGAGAAATTTCCCTCTCTGAGGCATATTGCCTTCGCGATAATTAAATCCCAAATTAATTGAATACTATTTTATATAGTAAGTACTATTTTGATAACGGTTCAGAAAAAAATCGTAGGGATCATCTTCAATAATAAAAAAATTCTTGTTCACAGTTGTTTATCTTATTATTTGTTGTATAAAAAAAACTAATGGACCCAAAATGTTTGCTGTTTTTTTTTTCTCAGCTACGCTGTACAGCCTAAACAAATACGTCCTGGAGCCATTGCAGGTTGCTTGGCAACCTGTGAACTTTTTTCAAACATCCTCTTACTTCGCTCTGATTTCTCTGCTAGGCTGTGCGACCTGGACACATACAGCCTGGAGCCATTTCGGGTTGCTTCGTAAACCGTAAAATTTTTTCAAACATGCTAAGCTTTGCTTTGTTTTCTCGTCTACGTTTTACGGCCTGGGGTCATTGCCGAACTATTTCCTGTTATATACGTTTTCTTCCTCGATTTGGCAATACCGCATTTATAGAAACGCCAATTGTCATATTTGTACATTGAAGATAATTTACTTAATATTTTTTTTCTAACAATATCAAAAACGACAAATAAGAAAATTTAAACGTTTACAAAAAAAATTGGCACGGATTATTGCTCTATGAAGTGTTTAATATTGATATTTAGTCGTTTCTAGAAAAGAAATCAGTTAAAATGATTAATAAAATGCATTTTTTGAGACGGCTCTTGGAAGATTAAAGAAATAAGAGTCAGAACTGGCCCAAATTGAGTGTTTGGGGGTTTTCGAGGTCGCTGATCACGATTATGATTAAATTGATCCTCAGCCGACTTGGAGCCCAAGAACGCATATGAACGTTATCTCCGTGGGACTTTTCCGAAATTAACGCGGGGAAGGAGAGAAACTCGGCGCCCGGAAGTTTTTAGATCGCCGAATTCAAATATGGCATCGGCGAACACCCCATCGAACACCTAATGTTCCGAAACCTGGACGTTGACGTCATCCCCGAGAATTTTCCTCACAAGATCGCCAGAAATAACTCGAAAATCATTGTGGGGGCGTTTTTGGGGCGCTGAATCCAAATTTAACGTCGAAAACGACCCCCTGAACACCTGGTACACTGGAACCTGGACGCGAACCTCATCTCCGTGAGTTTTCCTCACACAAACGAAAAAGATGAATCGAAAATTGTTATGGGGGGTTTTTTGGGGCGCTGAATTCAAATGTGGCATCGGCGAACACCCCCTGGACACTTGGTGCGCCCAAACCTGGATGTGGACGTCATCCCTGAGTATTTTGTCATCCCTGAGTATTTTGTCATCCCTGAGTATTTTCCTGACAAAATCACCAAAAACAACCCAAAAATCATTGTAGGGGAATTTTTTAAGCACTTAAACCAAACTTCAAGTCGAAAACGATCACCCGAACACCTGAACGTCATCTCCGGGGATCTTCCTCACACAATCAAAGAAGTCGAAACCAAAATCGTTATGGGAGGGTTTTTTGGGGCGCTGAATCCGAATCTTACGTCAAAAACGACCCTCCCAACACCTGGTGCACCGGAACCTCGGGCTGTAATCTTCTCCGATGGTTTTTCAGACACGATCGCAAAAGACTAACCAAAAATGATCTTATAATTTCACACATTCATTGATGTGTAACTCTCGCCTGGGGCTCTCGAAAAAGTTGATCCAGTTCTGTAAAATTCTAAATGCTGGGTTTGAATAGAGCGAGTAGAATCGCGAGAATTTTTTCCAGCTAGATCGAACTTTGCCGAGCGGCCTTTCACTTTTTTGTAAGTGTATACAAAGTCCAGGCCCCGCCCACCAACGTCCAGGTTCGGGAACACCAGGTATCCGAAAGGTATTCGACGATGCCACATTTGAATTCAGCGACCCAAAAAACACCCTGGCACCGAGTTTCTCTCCTTCCCCGCATGAATTTTGGGAGAGTCTCACAGAGATGACGTCTAGGGCCAGGCTCCGGTGCACCAGGTGTTGGAGGGGTCGTTATCGACGGGAAATTTGGATTCAGTGCCCCAAAAAACCCTCATAACGATTTTCGGTTCATCTTTTTCGATTGTGTAAGGAAAACCCACTGAGATGTGGTCTGCGTCCAGGTTCCGGTGCACCAAGTATTCAAGGGATCGTTTTCGACGTGAACTATGGATTAAGCGCCCAAAAAAGGCCCCTACAATGATTTTCGGATTGTTTTTAGCAATCTTGCCAGGAAAATTCTCTTAAAAACTACTACTCCCTTGGCTAATACCGCAACAGGCATTGCATTATATCAAAAGGTGAATAACAGATGTACAAAATAATTTTCAACTTTGATTTTGCTTCCTAAGGAGAAAGTCTTATAAGTTTAATAAACACTTCCAAATATGCTTATTTTGTCTTTTTTAAAAAAAAAATATTCAAAAAATCGTCCTTTTAAATTTTATTTAATAAATTTTGTGTTTCCATACTTAAACGACTTTATTTCAGGCAAAACCACTCTACCGATTTAAGATAAAACCGTTTTCGTGAAAACTAAAAATTTAATCGATAAAATTTGAAGGACTCGTGGTATTACCCTTGACGAAACACCATCCGCAAACTTTATAAATTATGTAAAACCAATAAGGCATATAACAAACAGACCTTGAACCAGTCACATCTTGATTGAAACTCCATAAATAATCGTGGTCGTAGGAAAAATATTCTACAATATTTGTATAAGAGTTATTTTTCACACTCGTAATCTAATATACTATTATTTGAGTCGTTATTTATTCTAAGTGAAAGTGGATAAGTGAAAATAGTAGTTTTAAAATATTAAATAAATCTGAATCTTACGCAAATAACGTACATAATGATGAAGTAACGTTAATTTTTGCATGATCTCTAGAATGAAACACCCAATTGGACAAAAGAATCAAAAAGGTAAAGGGCCCGTAGGCTTAAGGAACAAAGGGTTCAAATTCAAATATTTTTTGTCCTGCGAGAAAACGTAAATAAATATCGCTGACGTCTATTTAGTAGAAATGTATGTCAACGAATACATTACATTCTAAATCCAATGAAAGAAAAGGGTTCAAGTTTTTGTGAAACTTTTTAATTTTTTAACAGCCTATTTTATATCAACTCTTTTATATTTTAATTTATTGCAAGTATTCTCCGATTTTTCAAGTTTTGATGACAATAAAATGAATATCAAAATAAGTAATCACAACCAAACTCAATAGTTTAAACTACTTTTAAAAATAAACAGTTATTAATATTTTGTAGATACATAACATTAAACTTACATAATTTGGATCTGATGCAAATCCCAATACAACCTCAAAATATAGAATAAAGCAAACACATAACCTCACAACTAACATATTCATGTAAAAAAACTGTCTGTTCACACCACCATTTACAAAATCTTAACCCGAAGCACTTCCTGTGACATCTCCGCCCATCACTTTTATTTAAATGAGATCAAAGAAGGCAATGGTAGTGACAGTGAATACTTTCACTGCCTTGGCAGAACTGAATAATAAGAAATTCCTTGACCATAACCCTCAGAAGAAAGTAAGTTAATTGATTGTGCCAGACTGAACAGTAATAAAAACAAAGAATTGTGTTAATTTTGCGAAGTAGCGAAGGAGATGAAAGTAGAAATCAGTGAAGTAGATGAAATTAATGTTGAAACTACTGTACTTACGATTTATTAATAAGAGTTTGACTTTACTGTTTTTTAGAAGAAAAATAAGTAATTATTTTGCTTTTACTTGTTTCATATTTACAAGGTACATACTACTTTAAATAAAAATGTGTAGGTCACATATTCAGAGAAAGTAATCGTGTTAAAAATGTATAACAATTAGATTTCGATTTTTTCAACTTTTGTTAGTCTGAAGTTGACTTTTAAATGAATTAAGCAGCTCAGTAACCAAGGAAAATATAAATAAGTAATTATATCTAATTGTGACATGGGCAGCGGCCCAGCTTAGCAGGTTCATTTATATGTACTTGGATGGGTAACCATTTTAAGCAAAGTCAGCTTACCTATGAAGCCCAAACAGTTGCCCGCATAGTTGCATACCACAGCTGGCAGGCGTTATATAAATAAGTACGCTGTATAGCCATGGACGCCGTTCAAAAAATTTTCAGGGGGCAAATCTTATAGGCAGGGTCAAAACGCTGCAGGCTATAGTCGAAAGCCATAGCAAAATAATCCAAAATCACAAATCCAGGGAAGGCAGACGCCCCACCTTGCCCTCGTGTGCCGGCGCCCATGGGTATAGCGTGGAGTGTGCCATCTCTCTTAGGAGATGTAAATCTATCGGTCCCTTATCCATAGATGTTGGGCTCGTTAGATATTTCTAACTCTGGTTGGAATACCAGAGGATTCGTCAAAATGGCTGGTATTTTGGAGTAGCGTGCTCACAGGGCCGGCCCCAAGGTAGGGCGATCCGGGCGGCCGCCCGGAACGCAATGATATAGGGGCGCCAAAATCATGGAAATTGAAAATAAACTGATAAAAAAAATTGAGTTACAAGCTTTTTTCCATGTCGACTTTTTGCTGCACCATCTAGCTTGAGCGCTCTTGGCAATCGGGGATTTAAAGACTGGAAGCATTTAGGGGACTATTTAGCACATCATGAAAATGCTAAAACTCATATAGATTGTTTGAAATCATTGATTCTGAGATAAATCACTGGTCTGAAGTTCTTTTACGCATTATATCAGTCGTTAAAATGTCAGGTGAAAGCTCTCTAGCTTTTCGAGGAACAAGCGATAAATTGTATGAACACAATAATAGAAACTTTTTGAAGTTAATTAAGTTATTGGCTGAGTTTGATCCAAAAATGGAGGAACACGTTCGCAGAGTCCTCAATAAAGAAGAAATCAAAGCTACATATCTAGGGAAAACTATACAAAATGAAATAATTGAATTATTGCATGACAACATAAAGCACCACATCATTGAGCAAGTTCAAAAGGCCAAGTATTATTCCGTGATTCTTGACTGTACTCCCGATGCAAGTAAAGTAGAACAGATGACATTTGTTGTATGATTTGTCTCCATACAGGAATCAGAGTCTGAAGTTCAAGTTAATATCAACGAACATTTTTTGGGTTTTCTACCCATTGAGAGATCAACAGCTAAGGAATTGTCGGAGATTTTACTAGAAGAGCTAGAGAAAAATTGAGGTTTTGCCCGGAGCGCCAAAATGTCTAGGGCAGGCCCTGGTGCTCACCAGCGTCGGAATTTAATATTGTAGTTAGAAATAGTCCGACGTCAAATAAATTTATTAATAATAATATTTGTGACATACAATCAATGAAGGTAAGCCATTAAATCTGTCACAGTTACTACATATTATCTACTATTTAGATACTTAATATATCTATATCTAATAATATCTATATCTATATTATTCTATATCTATGTATGAATTTAAAATTTATTATGACTGTTAAGGAAACGTATCGAGTTAAATATTTCAGAATGGTAGTAGTATATTATTCTTCATCTTCCTTGTCTTTTAGACATTTTATTATATGTTACGGTACTTATATTTTCTTTTGCATACAAGGCTTTTTTAATTCATTGGTTTAGATTAGATATGTTTAATTAATTTCTTATTTCTTCTTATCTAAGTCTATCAATTAAATATCACAATTGCGATACCTTAATACTGGACCAGTTCACACAAGTATAACAAGATTAGTGACAAGGGACTTCTTAGACATGATATTACAGATCATATAAACAAGCGATGCCAAATAGAAAGGGAATCTCCACGAGTTTAAAACTTTGGAATGCACTGGACCAACAATATTTTCTAGAAACTCAGAGAACAGCCTTAACTACATAATAGGCAATTTTGGAATGCGCAAATGAAAGATAGGAGAGTTACCGAAATCTATAGATCTGTTAGGCGGCCTATAAAGTTGGTATGAAACTGCATCGTAAAACTTTTAGACCGAAATAGGATAAAATGAATTATACCTGGTCATCAGAGAAATTAAAGGCAACACAAAACTTGTCGATCTTACAAAAGAAAGGTAAAAAGAATGATCGAAATCATATATACATCTGGCTACATGATAAAATAGAAGAGGACAAAATGGCGTAGGACAAAATGACGCAAGGACAAAATAGCGTTCGGGCAAAATAGCGCAGGACAAAATAGTGCTATGACAAAATAGCGCAAGGACAAAATAGCGCAGGACAAAATAGCACAGGACAAAATGGCGCAAGGACAAAATAACGCGTAACGAACAAGATAGGTTTTTTATATAATGAAATTCATTGAAATAACAAATAACAAATACTATTTCGATGACGCCTATATAGAAAATGTTCTCACAAACACAAAAGAGTAGAGAAGTCAGCGACTGATATAAATAAAGTGAGACCAATTAACGCCTGTCTAATTATAGTCAATTAAGTTTTTTCATAAAAGAGTGAAACGAATTTACGTGTGGCAAATTATGTATTCTTACTAAAATTGAAAAAAAAAAAACTTATTTACACCTGTGAGGCCTGGAACTATGGCGAATTGCTGTATATGGCTCCAGGCTGCACATGTTAGGTAAATTAGTTACAATTTGTTTTTAATGCTCGAATATTTTGACACGCGCTTTTATGTCCTAAGCTATTCTAACTTGCGTTATTTTGTCCTGCACTATTTTGTCCTGCGCAATTTTTTCCTTGCGCTATTTTGTCTTGTGCTATTTTGTCCTTGCCCTATTTTGTTCTGAGCTATTTTGTCTGCACTATTTTGTCCTGAGCCATTTTGTCCTGCGCTGTTTTGTCATGGAGCCTAAAAATATATACCAAAAGTTACAGTATGAGGTTTAAAAACAGGTACATGGAAAAACCTTTATAGGAAAACTTTGATCAAACAGAACTGAAGAACTGCTCTTTAAAATTAATGACCTGTTAAGAATAATAACAGAATTTATTGCATAAGTAATGGGATGTGTGAACAAAATATACTTGTATCATGTAGACTTAATTATGTGATAAAGAACCAGACGTGCTCAAATTTAAAGAGTAGCTCACAAAAAAATGTCGGTTCTAGAAAACCACAGTACGCATCCTTCCAAGTTCAGGGTATCTGTATAGATATAAGCATGGACCTTCTAGAATAACTTCTTTTGCTGCTATGAGAATCCCTGTGAGCTCAATTTGAACTACACTGGCACTTTTTTTCACATACTATTTTATGTTTAGATTTAAGGATCTGGAGTATATTCCACACTTTGTGCCTTGATATAAATCGTACCTGCCACTTTCGGCTCTTCTATATTTTTCGGTATAACTTTGTAAGGCATTTGAAAGGCATATCGTGGTGAGATGGAGTTTACTTGAAGCAGTAGAAGCAATTCGAGCACCTCCCTCCAAAAGTGACATCTCTACTAACGGGATCATACGTCAGGCTCTATACCAACCGTGCGAAGTCGTGCCATTGAATTGTCAAAAGAAAAGTCTGCCTCATGTAAATATGAAACTAAGAATGACTTCCATAGCTCCAGTTGGAGTGGTGTTCTTGCTTTTTTATTTCACCCAGAAAATTGTGTCGGCAAACAACCCATTCACTACTTGAAAGATAAGTATTCCGAAATTACATAAAATAAGGTATTTTATAACTGGTAACATAGCCGGAGAGGCTAGCCGCGAGCTTAGTGTGCATCCACTTACTCGCAACAGTTAAAAAATGATCTCTCCGGTCACGTCGTTGATGGGTGACCGCTGGGAGGTTCCACCATGGGCCGTTTCACCATAGGATTCATCCGACTAGCGTTTAACCATCGACGACGTGGAATGAATGAGAATGAATGAGGGTGTGAATGGGAAAGTAGTAGGACCTTCAAATGGTGGTACAATAAGCCACAGGCTGCAGTGCTGCCAGACTACAGATGCATTAGGGTATAGCACGGGAGGTCTGAAGGGTGTAAAACTAAAAAAAACTAAAAAAAAACTAAAAAAAAAAAACTAAAAAAAAAACTGGTAACATAAATAGCTATTACGAGCCATTATCAATTTATTTGCTTTATTTCGTTTTAATATCCAGTAGTTTTTAAATGGGAGGCCTTCTTACCTATTTTTCTTAATTGTCTCTGTAGAGTACTGCCCTACCGTTGCAGAAATTTAAAGCTCAATATTCTCATATTTGTTGACGTCCGGTTTGCTTTTAAGGAAATATGGAAAGAACGAAGTGAATTTGATTAGATGCAACAATATCGAATAATTTCTTTGAATCGTCTTTATATTTCTGAACTTTATAGTGGGAATTGAAGCTTCTTCCCAGATCGCAAGAATTTGAGAAATTTCTAAAATATAGGATCTCTACCGGCTCAAAACCTTAAGTTCATTTCGAATAAGTAAATATCATGATATTTTCCACAGTTGGCAAAACATTAGAGGGTATATTCGCTGGTGCACCAAACATAGGACAATTAGTAGCTTCCCTACTGCCCCTAGTGTCCTTCACTGAGAAACTCAATGCAACTTAAAACAAAGATCTTACTTCTGCGACTATCAAAAGAAGATTGAGTTCAACTTATAGCTACACAATTTGCCATGCATAAACGATTATAAACTGGTCTTAACTGGATTGAACAAGTTTAAAGAGTTTCGTGACATACAGTGGCGTGCGGTGACATTTTTGAAAGGGGAAGCGATTGTATAAAAATATAGCAGGCAAGTAAGCACAGCGCCGCAGACGAAAAATTTTTCACGGAGCATTCACCATTTTGTAAAAATCTTGCTTTTTTCCTCAGTACTACGGATATTCGGTATTGAGATTTTTAAAGTGTTACTATTACTTTATTACCTAGTTTAGTACTAGAAGCTATAAAAAAACTTACCATTGAAAAGCTTCCTTGGTTTATTTAAACGTAAAGAAAAAAACATTTAACTGAAGTTTTTTTGTTTCTCCAGCATTTTTCGCACAGTTGACACAGCAGTTGACATTTGTTTATACTTAAGATGTATTCGCCTATCCTCAATGGCTGCAAATTTGTCTATAACATCGTTGTAAAATTTTGGATTTTGTGATAACTGTTTAACAAGCTGTTTTACAATGGATATTAGGGCTAAATTAGAGAGTTTGTCTTCACTTGTTGAATTTCGTATAAAACGTTTAATGCGCTTTAAAGCTGAAAAATTTCGCTTAACTGACGCACTTGTGGCTGTACCTACTAATTGACACAACTTGACGACTTCACAAAGGGACTTATTTAAACCAGTTGTTATAAGAAAATTTAACACATTGATGGGCGTCTTTTTATCACTAATTTCAGGTGTTTCATAAACAACACTTTATTGCTGGAATTTTGAGAACATTTCAATAATTTAGTTTTAGTGAATTAAAAGCTTCCGATGGAAATTTTGATGAATCGTAGTTACTAATATTAAAAATGCACAATTCAACAAATTTTAATTCGTTAAAATTTTGAAATCGAGAATTCATTTGTTGTAAAATATTATCAAAAATTTCGGCATATAATCGACGATAGGAGGTCTCTCTTTCGCCGACATTATCAATTCTAATTCTCTTTCTTTCAGGTTCTAAGCCAATGTTTTGAGTCTTATTCCAAAAGTGTTCAAACTGATCTCGTTTTTTATTCATTTTATTTTTAAAATCTTCAATTTGTTTAATGCAAAAGCCAATGTCATTTGACTTTGTCTGTAAAATGTCGAATAAAATGTCAGTAAAAGGGAAAATCTCTGCAAAAATGTTGAGCAAACATATTGAAATCAATGTTTTCAACAGTTTCAGCATCCCATGTTTCTTTATTATCCCAAACGTCTTGAAAAAAGTGTATCAAAGAATCACGGTATTGAAACACTGTTTGCACTAAACATCCATTGTAGTTCCATCGCGTCGGTGCAACTTTTGGAAACCTTTTTTGGACGTGAATGCCCAAAGCGCGAATTATTTTCGATGACTTTGAAAAGAAGGAAGCCAAACCATAAGCGCCGAAAAGAAAACTTTGCAATCTTTAATATTATCCATGCTTCGCGATAAAACCAAATTAAGTCTATGTGCTATGCAGTGAACGAAAATTGCATTTTTAAAGTTCTCTTTCACTTTAGCTTAAAGGCCTCCTAAATAGCCAGCCATTACGGCAGCACCATCGTTGCTCTGGGCAACAAGCTTAGAACCACATTGTAAACTTGAAATAATGTCACAAACAATTTTAAACAATGCATCTGCAGTTCGTTCGTTAGTGACGTCCAAAAATCCTAAGAATCGCTCTTGAGGAATGCCATCCAATACATATCGTACAACAATGGATAATTGACTTAAGTTTGCTACATCTGTAATTTCATCAAGCGCAATTGATAAGAAAGGTGCTTTTTTAATTTCACTTTTAATGAAAGTCGTCGAATCAATAAAATTATTTTTTAGGGTATCATCGTATTTTGCTAAAACACTTAGAAGGTCCATGTAATTTTCTCGATTGGCGGATTCACTTGCTTCATTGTGACCCCTAAAACTTAGTTCATGCTCTCCCAGGAAACAAGTTACAACTATTAATCGTTGTAAGACGTCTGAATTAATTCATAAAATAATCCTCTTTTAGTTAAAGTAATTCATCAAGTATTTTTAGTGTTTAAAAAAAATTAGGTCGTAATTTACCGTTTTACAAATGTTTTAACCACAATTCAACCAGTAAACTAAACACACATGTAAGCAAGCCAAACAATAAACAAGAAATTAACGCCCAAGCAGAAACATACCTGCTTTATTCAAACGAACATATTCATACATAACGCACAAGACAAAAATAAACTCGAAGATTTGAATACCCGCAGAGATACGTCAGAGGTCTTCTGGGTGAAACAGTTGAAGAGCGGTAGTCATCCGCGGTATACCAATTTTATTAGAAGATAGATCGCGGTGTGCGTAGGCAGACATGGCCGACTATGTGAGAATTGTTGGTGTTTTGGTAATGTTTTCTTGGATAGCTGGATTTCATAGTGGAGCTGTAAGTAAGTTTTTGTTGCTAAACTGAATGCCAATGTGTGCCTCAAGGTTAAGGCAGTGGGGAAGTTGTAACGGTACTATAGTATTGATGATTGTGATTCCGGCAGAGAATTGGAAACACGCAAAAGTTTACAGTTTTATTGTAGACACATGCTTCTTTGAATACATATTTTGTGATTAATAATGGAAGACATGTATACCTAATAACCCGCATATGTTTAAATTCTGAAAACGTAAAATATTTTACACATACATTTGTAATTTACATATTTTTAGTTTTATTTGAAGTTATTAATATTCTTCAATCTTTAACCTTCAACAAATAAAACATCGTTTTTTAGGTCTTAAAAAGAAAAAAAGTAAATGTACAATATAAGTACTACAGTTCACTTAGACAAGCGTTGTTATGTTTATATCATTTATATTGATTTTTCTACGGTTTTTGACCGGTTGGACTATGGTATTCTACTGTCAAAACTTTCAAATTTAGAATCAACTAAATAATTTGTTAATTTCCTTTACCACATACTTGATTGTAGATAACCGAGGTGTTAAACCGTTTTAAATTGACACTTTCTCTGGGGTACAAGGTATTGGATCCATTACTATTTATTTACCTTTATAAATTATATTATATTGACTACTTGACTACTATTTCATTCTTCTTTGAGCAGACGATTTACTGTTATTTTGTTCATTATCGGGTTCTAACAATTGGGTAATGCAATTTTGGAAATACGAAAATGAAAAATCCCCAATTCCCCCTACGAAATTATTTATTTATTTATTACAATGCTTTACAGTCAATCCCAATTACAGAGCAGGGATAAAAGAACACATATATTATGTAGACTAAGTGGAACAAAATATAAAAAAATTTGTAATCAGCTAGTAGGTAAAAATAAATACAATTGCTATTTTTTATTTAAGTTAAAATAAATGATATTTTATTTCCCTAAGTTTGCATGAGAAAATGTCAATGTGAGAGATTATTAAATAATTATATTTTATTTAATCGGTTTTTAAAGTAAAAGACATAACTTTACATTTAATTGGGTAATTAATTAATAATAAGTGTATAAAGTGGCCTTCAAAAAAGGGCTTTACATACGAATTACATACAATACTTCTACTGTACTAAGATTGGTTACGTTACTCATATTAGTTCGTAAACTGTTTTACTTTACACACTAACGCGTAAAGAAAATTTGAAATAAAATGTGTCATTTGTCATGTCAAAATACTGTTTACAAAATTTTACTTTGAAAAAAGTAAAACTTTATGCACTCGTGGTGTGCGTAACGTGCGTACTTTACGCACAGTAGTAAAAAAATAAATTATTACGACACGCAACGGATCTTTAAATTTAAAAAAAAAATTATTTTTATTTTAAATTTTAAAGTAGCTTAATTTTATGAGAAAGCATTAAAGAATTATTATGATAATACAAGACCTACCATACAATAATAAATTAACATTGATACGCCCAAGAAATTAAAATTTTCAATAGAAAAGTGGGTTTCCATTTAAAAATTAAAAATAAATTGCGATTTACTGTTATTTTTGAAAAACCGGAAGGTAAAGTCATGACGTTACAGACCAGTTGAATAAAGTATTTGACAGTATTTATTCCAAGCTTTCAAACAAAAAGGTTTTTATTCCGATATCTCAATTAATAGGGAAGATAAGAGCAGGTGGAATTATTAAACGGTTTGCTAATAATAAAAATGCTTAGATACGCCTCTGGTGTACTGTAAGTGAGTCTCAATAGAAATTTTGAAGCTACAATGATTTTATAAAGATCATACATTCCCATATTTTTTTAATAGTAACATGTTCAGAACAAACATTATCCAATATGGCGGCCATTCTGACAGCTGACAGAAAATTTTTAATATACGCTTTTTATCCAAAAATGTCCCAGAAATTCATATTTTCAATAAGTGAAAGGCTTTGATTTTAAATTAAAAAATAAATGGCGATTTTCAGTTATATCCGGAAAAATCGAAAGTAAGCCATGACGTCACAGACTAATTGGTTTCAGTATATGAAAGTATCTATTATAGGCTTTTAAACAAAAAAGTTTTTATTTCTATATCTTATTTAACAACGAAGATAAAAGAGGATGGAATTATTAAACGGTTTGCTAACAATAAAAATGCTTAGATACGCCACTGGTATACGGTAAATGAGTCTCAATGGGAATTTTGAAACCCTCAAAGATTTTAAAAAGCTCATACATTCCTAATTTTTTTCCCATTAACGAATTAATAGTAACATGTTTAGAAAAAATATTATCCAATATGGCGGCCATTTTGACAGCTGCCAGAAAAAATTTAATACACAATTATTATACAAAAAGGTTCCAGAAATTCAAATTTACAATAAAAAAAGTGGGTTTCAATTTAAAAATAAAAAATAAATTGCGATTTTCTGTTACTTCCGGAAAAACCGGAAGTAAGCCGTGACGTCACAAAATAATTAAATCCTTTATAAGAAAATATTTGTTCCACTCTTTAAAAAAAAAAAATTATTCCGATATCTCAATGAATAACGAGAATAAGGGGGGGTGGAACTTTTAAGTGGCCCACCCTGTATATGTATTCAGTTTAATAGTTTAATAGTGATGTCTCCGTTCAAATGTTGACTGGGTTACCGCAAGTGGATAAGTTAGATGAGACTAATATTTAATCATCTAATATGGAGTGTGAATGATAGAATAAATGGATATATAACAAGGACGTCTTCTAAAGATGTAAACAACCCCTTTCACTTTAGTCCGGAAGCTGATATAGGAGGTTTGTTCCCGAAGCGAGTTCCAAACTTGTTACAAACATTATCTGATACGCATGCGTGAGCAGAATAATGTTTGGAATTGAGATCTGAATAAATGTGTGCTGGAACATCAAAAAAATTAATGTAGCTGACTCTTTTGACTATATACAGATCATTTGATTATATTTATTAAAAAAAGAAGATTTTGAGGTTATACCATATTGCACAAATAAAAACTACCCTCCTTATTATATTTTTTGCTGTATAAGATTTTAATCAAAATTAAAGATAATAGGTACTCACAAAACTAACCAAAAATCCAATTGAAAACAAAGGAGAAAAAGAAGAAAAATGATTTTAAATAAGCACGCATGCGCGAAAGTAAAAGTACGTATTTTATTTAGGAACTATTAAAACTAAAAACAAACATGTTATGACCAAGTTATAATTCTTGCGGAAACACCAAACAAGTTCAATTTGTTTGGAACTTTGCTCTGCTGGAACAGTTATTTTGTACTGCGCATACTCAATGTGTTAGGAACTCGCTTCGGGAACAAACCTAAGAATTCGTTGTTGTGGATTTATTAGTCAAAAATTGTATTCAGCGACATGTTTAAACAACGCGAAATTTAAAGTCTGAGACAACTCGATTAATAAGAAGGTCCATAAGTAATAATTTCTATTGTTATCAAAAATCAAAACCCTGTGCACCTACCAACTTTCAAGTCTCTAGCTCATCCGGATGTAGGTAAAAAAATTGAAATTTATCAATAGTGATATATATTTTTATATTTACTACATAAGTTAAATACTCATAAATATAAAACTGCCTAATGACCAAACCTTTATTATAAATGTAAACTACAAAAGAGTTTTACTTCAAATTACGTCGAGCAGTGTAAACATCACATTCAAGACCAGTTCATAATTCAAGCAGTGTTTTACTGTGTCGTTCCGTCAATAACGTCAAAAGAGAGAGAAAGAAAATTTGCACCACCCAAGATCAAAGGCACCGACGCTTTATGTCGCTACCTTAGATTATACAAACCTTAGATGGAACATAAGACACTGCGCATAATCCCATTTCGAAATTATTCACACCCACGAATCACAGTTGAGAACATCACATGTCAGAGCGTTGTCCATCCAAATTTAATGTGTCAACGAGAATTAATTTGGTATTTTAGTGACTTAAATTTTGGAAATTAACGTTTAAAATGCCAAGATGTGTTGTAGAAAGCTTTATTTATAATAAAAGTGCGAAATGTGATGGAGATAAAAGAAACTTATATTTATTTCGGTGAGATATTTAATTTTTAAAGATTCTGTCGACGTCCATATTTGTTGATTTGAAAATAAACAGAATCGGACTTGGTCATTGGTACATGTTATAAGTAGCAAATAAAGGTTATTTTTATAAACTGTTTACTATTTCTTGTTTCATGGTGAATCTGTTTTCAGGAAGTGGAAAGAGAAACATACAATCAAATACAAAAATATCAATTTCATTGCCAATTTATTCGTTTCAAACTTCCCAACTGGTTTCAATAGTGTTTTCAAAACTATTTATTTAGTATTTCTCTATAACAGTGTTACTCAAAGTGTGCTCCGTGGAGCCCTGGGGCTCCGCAAAGCCTTTGTGAGGACTCCGCGAAGAAAATAATCATAATAAAAAAAAACAGTACTATCGCCACAAAATGGAGGGACCTGGCTTGAGGACCTTTTTTTTTTTTGAGAAGTAATTTTTTTAAGTCACTAAGAGGAAGGAGGATATGATTTTGCTTTAGGACTTTTATTTTATTTTTATGGGTGAAATGGATTTGGGATAATTCTTGCAAGGAATCTTTGGAATTAATCAAAAATAAATTAACAACAAATTATGTTCTTATGCATTTTCAGCCTGAGTTGCCGATTAAATTAATCGTAGATGCATCAAATGTGGGAATAAGGGCCATATGTCATGTTTTTTAAAAAAATATTGAGAAATCTATAGCTTCTGCATCGCGTACCTTATCAAAGTCAGAACAAAAATATTCCCAAATTGAAAGAGAGGGCCTTTCAATAATTTTTGGCTTAAATAAATTTCATGAATATTCATATAGACATTTATTCATCCTAGTTACAGATTACTTACCTCTGGTAACTATTTTTAACCCAGCTAAAGGTATACCCCAATTTTCAGCCAACAGACTACGTAGATGGGCAGTAATATTGTCAAATTACAATTATAAAATTGAATAATATGTAAAATCGGAGCATAATATGAAGCCGATTTTTTATCACGTTTACCTTGAAAGTCAAAATGAGAGTCAAATTGAAGAAAAAAATTTGAAAAATATTTTTTAGAGTGGAAGGACTGTTTAATGTGTTGAGCCCCCCCCCCTGTCAAATATTTCGCTTTTCAAAAAGGTTCCGTCCCCAAAAAAGTTTGAGAAACACTGCTCTATAATAATATGGGATCTATCCATTTAATTACATTTTATTTTCTCTAATTTTGACATATAAAGTAATATATTTTTTAAAGTAGAACATTATGCAACTGATTACGAAAAGTTGATTATGTCACCAGTTACGAAATGAAAATAAATAAAACTGCCTCTTTTTTGGTTTTTAAGTCGAAAAATCGAGAAATCGAGTAATCTAAAAATCGAAAAATAAAAAATCGAAAAATCGAAAAATCCAAAAAACCAAAAATCGAAGAAACCAAATATCGAAAAAAAGGCCGAACACCGTTATTGAAAACTGCCCAGAAATGTTGGGGGTAAAATTTTGACGTACTCCTTTAAGGATAATGGGTAAAAATTTTTTTTTTCAAATTTCTCGCGGGTAATGTCAAAAATCAGATCGACAACACTGCACATGTTCCTTATTTTTATTATTATTGAAAAAAAAAAACGTCGTAGGGCAATCAAATACAACAATTTTCTGAAATATTTGATTGGAAGTACCTACAAAAGAATGCTGGTGAATTATTTTTCAACACAATTATAAATAATCAAGACAAAATTAGAAAAAATCTTGTATGTAAACACGTTACCAAATGCCGTTTTGTGTAACTCGTTCATTTTGCAGGACCTCGCTCCGCTCGTCCCGCAAATATTTACTCGATACACAAAATAAGACATTTCGTAACTGGTTACATAAATAGCTATTAATTGACTTCCTAATATTTTAAATCATTGAACAGTATTTTCTGTAAATAATTAAATCATAAATAATTACCGGTATATAAGTACCAAAACATTTTTTTTTTCTTCGAAGAATAGGCTTATGTCAAATAAACTTAAAATATAACGAACGAAAAGGTAACCCATTTCTAATAAAATTTAATTATTTATTTTATTTTGGTGTGATCGTAGAAAAAATCTTGTGTGTAATTCGGCAAAAAGTACTTTGGCTATTTCGATAACTTTTTGTCTCAACAGGTATTTTGTTAGAATAATTTTATAAACTTCTACTTAGGGTCGATTTCACGGTTTTGTTAAACGAAGTGAAGATTAAAATGACATTTTTATATTAACAAAAATAAAGTTTAAATTACTAAATGGAGTTTAAAATGACATTTTTACATTAACAATGTCATTTTAATCTTCACTTAGTAATTTAAACTTCGTTTGACACAACGGTGGAATCGCCCCATAGCTAGTTATAAATGAATCGTGCTGACAAATAAAGTCAAAAAAACGTGTTATAATTTTTCATCTTTTAGTTACCTACCAAAATTAGGTACTACAATACAAATATTTAAGTCCGACCCAGAACATCTCCCTACTCCTTCCACCCAGTTTTTCGGTTTTGGCCAAATTCGCGCAGTGACAAATGCTTCCTATGTTACCTCTACCCTTTCTAACCTCTTTGGTCGCTACTCAACGGTTAATATACTTTGATCAAATGGTGATAAAATAAGCTAAGATGGCTTATGGTACTGTGAGTAGCGATTCTAATAAAAAAACAACCTGTGCTAGTGATCACCTGGTGATCTATTCTTTTTATTCCCCTAATATCGAGGAAATAAAGAGAATAGATCACAGGTCAGCTTGTCGTAAGAGACGACCAAAATAATAGGGCCATGTAGAGTCATCTCTCGGCGGCGTTATGAATCCCTTTTGGACAAAAGGCTTTTTGACAGTTCCTAATATGCAATTTAATTGAATTTGATGAAAATACATGTACGCTATTTTTATTTGAACTTACATTGAATATTTTATATTTATTTGTTTTATTTTTAGACACAAACACAAATTACTCCAATAAAAGATTTGAAGAAAATCTTTGGACCAAAATTTGGAAATTTAAATAATCGGCCTCCACCTCGACATGATACTCCTGCTTCTCCTTGCCAATGTAGTAAGTATAAGTATAAAAAAATGTATTTAGTGACTATTTCCTTGGAAGCATTGCCATTGATATTTGGTTAACGATAACTATACAATATATAGTAAAATGTGAACAGATCAGGGACATAAATATATAAAACGTTGATAAGAAGAAGCTTATAATCAACAACGACCAGTTCGGACTCACTGTATGGCGCTTTCATCGATGTCAATCCAATAACGGAGCGGGACATTTAAAAATCTGATAATAAAGGTTATGTATCAAATATTGATTGCACTTTTTCATATTCTGGTAAATATATTTGAACAGTGTTAAATACGGTAAATTATTTGTTACAACGAATACTACAATTACTAAAATTTTAGTATATTACCGATTAATTGCAAGACTATTCATGACAAATAATTTTTAATTTTTATCTGCAATTTTTCTTGCAAGAGTTTCGGCAGAATAAACGTCTGCAACTGTTATTATTGGTATTAAAGCAGCAAGTGTGCTATAATAATAATTGTGCTTATATGTAATATGTTTCAATTTTGTTATGATTCGCTGTTGGCACCTTGATTAATATTGCACCTATTTTCAGAATTATTTTCGGAATAATTTTTTTAACTATTCAGATGTGAAATGTCTGCAAACTTGGAAAAGGGAATTAAGATATTTTTCTTCCTGTATTTTCTTGCCCGAAAACAATAAATAATAAATAATTTGTTGTAAAAGTTGGCTACTGTTTGTGTTACTTACTGGGCGGGATCTTTTATTTTATTTAAAATTTATGGCCTTGGCATTGCCAATTAGCCAGACTAGTTTATATATATATATATATATATATATATATATATATATATATATATATATATATATATATATATATATATATATTTTTTTTTTTTTTGATACAAACAATTACAAATTCACGGTTATTAAATATTTGTTAGTCGTTTCTATTATTTTTTTAATACTTTCACTTGGTTTAATTTTTTTTGTTTTAAAATTCTCTTTTTGTGTTATATTTTCTTTCTTGTGTTATATTTTCTTTCTTGTGTTATATTTTCTTTCTTGTGTTATATTTTCTTTTTTGTGTTATATTTTCTTTTCTGTGTTATATTATTTTCTTTTTTGTTGCTCCGAACTTATGACTTTTAGGTATAACATTACATGAAAAATATTCATTATTTCTTAATGATTTCAAAAAACAAATAATAATATAATAATAATAATAATAATAATAATAATAATAATAATAATAATAATAATAATAATAATAATAATAATAATAATAATAATAATAATAATAATAATAATAATAATAATAATAATAATAATAATAATAATAATAATAATAATAATAATAATAATAATAATAATAATAATAATAATAATAATAATAATAATAATAATAATAATAATAATAATAATAATAATAATAATAATAATAATAATAATAATAATAATAATAATAATAATAATAATAATAATAATAATAATAATACTCTCCCTAATTCACCCCCTTACGAGTAAATTTCAACCCCTGAAGTCGACTGAACGACTTGTGTAGGGGAAGGGACGGCTATTATTATTATTTGCCCTAGATTGGAATCAAATAGAAATTTTTTTTATTAATAATTTTTTTTAAAACCTAGAATACAGTCATCAAATATCAAATTTTTTCAGTGGTATACGAGGTTTGTCAAAAAATATGAATTTTGCTCAAGAGTAAAATACGTTTATTTTTGACAAAATCGAAAATTTTCATTAAGAAAATTGCTAAATTCTTTACAAACATCAAGAAACGGGAAACGTATCGTAAGAGAGAAAAAATTATGGATTACCGTAATTAGGTGGATCAATGCAAAATCTAGAAAAAAAATCTGATTTTTGAGATAGATCAGTGTAATTGCATATTTGAATGTAATTTTTAATTTTAATCAACTTTTCTTAATGAAAATTTTGTCAAAAATAAACGTACTTTACTCTTGAGCAAAATTCATATTTTTTGACAAACCTCGTATACGGCTTGAAAAATTTAATATTTGATGACTGTATTTTAAGTTTTGTGTCACGCAGGACTTTTCATCAAGAATAACTTTTTTTCTTAAAATCAATAATAAAAAAGTTTTCCATATGATTCCAACCTAGGGGGTCATACTCTATAAATATAAATATATAAATAACAAAGTTCAGTATATTTCCAGACAACCGAAAGATCTGACAACAATGTAAATACAACCATAAAATCGGCTATTTTACAAAACCTTTACATACCAAAGTTTATAAAAATCGTTCAAGGCGTTTCAGAGATAATTGGGGCGTTCCATACTTAAAACTCACTCTGTATACTCTACTTAGATAAGCTTATGTAAACATTTGTCCGGAAATACGTCCTTTCCGAGATACACGGTGACAAAGATACTGTAAAAAATCTATTTTTCTAACATTTTTTTGTACTATTCTAAATCATTAAAAAAAAAAATAAAAAAAAAGAGATCTTATGCTTTCTTTGTTATTGTGTACATCAGAAAGGATGTATTTCCGGAAAAATGTTTATAAAAGATTTTTTGCATATTTCGACTTCCAGAACAGTCTTTAAAATATTTCCCTTTCCTCGCGAAACACACATTTTTTTAAGTTAAATATTTACTTCATCTTAAGTTTTATTTACATCGTCTTAGGACATTTTTTATTTTCCTGATACCCTGTTATAGGAGTTCTTCTCCTTTTCAGGGTGGTGTGCCCTGATTACAGTAGTAACCTAGCTATTCCTAAATGTTGGCGCGTGGCACATGTGTGTTCCCAAATAATATCGTCAATTTTACTATTTCCAACTTTACATATGGACAAATCCATAATATAAGGTGAGAAATGTGATCAAGGAAAACCACGAAAACCTAAATCACGATACTGTACAGTAGTATGACAATAGCTGTATATATCGCTCATTTGCTGCAAGAACGTCATAAATCAAAAATTGTAATTTTTGAGTTATTAGTACAATAAAGATCGTAAATAAAAGCACTATTATCTGGCAAAGTGTCACATCTGAACTTTCTATAATTGCCGTTAGATGTTACTTAAATTGATACAAAGGTTTTCCTCTAATCTGAATACTACAATTTCAATATCGTCTCTCGGATATCAAAAAGTGATTAATTTCGTATTTTGACTATATTTTTGGTATAATACGTTACTCGATTTGCCAAATTACTATTTTATTACCCTCTTCGCTCATTTGCGAGAATACCGACACAAATTAAAAACATTTAATTCACTGATTTAACATATTTAAACTTAAAAAATGCCAATTGTAGTAGCGCCTTATAGCGAATCTCACTATAACGACGGAAGTGTCGTTGTTTCTGTATAAAGAACGTACCCTTTCAATTTTGTTGAAATATGCGGTATTCTCGAAAATTAGCATTCTTTAAAAAGAACATTTTTGTGTTATGACGTTCTTGCAGCAAATAAGCGATATGATTGAAATGGTTTGGTTTATCGTATAGATATAGATAATGGGACTGAGACCAGCAGATCCTAGAGTGCAGCGGTGACTGAGAGATCTTTAGAGTCGGAGAGTAATCTTATGTTAAGGTTGGGGGAGTTTTCTTTTCGGTTTGCCGAATGGTGGGAGACGCTGGTATATTGGATATTGGATATTGCATACAACAAATATGTCAGTATTATTCAGAAATTCCTGATTATTTTACTGTCTTATTTCCCTATTCAACTATACCAACTTTGGCATGCTCAAAATTGTTTACAATTTTTGACAGTACAATCAATTCTATTTGCTTAAAAGCACGTCATTGATTAGTTTACAACCAATATTCATATTGTATTATTTACTAATCTTCCCATTTTAGCATGCGGCGAAAAAAACGAGGACAGTAGGATAGTAGGAGGTAGACCAACATTTGAAAATGAGTTTCCATGGATGGCTAGACTATCATATTTCAATAGATTTTATTGTGGCGGGATGCTTATCAACGACAGATACGTTTTGACAGCCGCCCACTGTGTAAAAGGGTAAGTCATATCTATTTATATTTATATTTTAGAAGTATGGATCTTTTTACCTATAATTTAGGTACCATTGTTAAAAACCGTTAAATATGCTACATCTAAGAAAGAAAAAAAATAGTTTTTTTTTAAGTCCAATGTCAACACGTTGTCAATGACAAGTGACAGCGGTTTTTCTAACACACGTTTTCTGAAGTAATTAGGCAAAAATAAAATATTGTTTATGGCGGTTTAGGTTTTAAAAGTCTATCATTTGTTTTACTTTTAATGAATAATATTTAAAAGTAATATTGTACAAATATTTATTTGTTAGAATTAAAAATGTACTGTTGATGAGGTGGCACCATCTAAGGTGGTAATAACATTTGCAACGGTGCTAATGCCAGACATACGTTTTATTAAACTCATCGTATTATGTATTTGTAGATATTGGGGTCTATTCTGTAACAATTCCTTTATATTTTAAAGGCCGTTAAAATATTGGCGGCCTTTAAAAATATTTTCGTATTAACTAAACTTACTTCTGTCATTATTCAAACGGATTCTTTTAAAATAGTCCTCAAATAACAATCATTTTTAAAGGGATGTTAAAATTCGCCTTTAATTTTTAACGGTTTTGAATTGAAAATTGAGGATTTGTATGGTTATGTTTTCAAACTAGTTCAAATAAATCTTAAATGCGATGTTGTCAAGTGTTCTCCTGCAATTTTAAAGGGAATCCGTTAAAATTAATAATTTTAAACAGGCCTCTAAAATTTGTGTATACAGAACACCATTTTTGGTTAAAAAATTGACGGGCCGCTAAAGGTTTAATTTTTAAAGACCTCTAAATTATAACGGATATGTTACAGAATAGACCCCATTATGAGTTACAAATTTAAAGTGACGACTTGTATAACTTTGAATAATGCGAGGTTTCCTAACCTAAAAAATCGTGGTTATATCGTGAAAACAATTGAGTTAGGTCTTAATACCAGTCTAGAAGTATACAGAAAATTGCGAGGTGTAACTATAGATGGGGTAACACTCAGATCAAAATTTGTACTATTAAAAAAAAAAAATTAAAAAATTTTAAATCCAAGTGTCACAATGTAATACTAGCGACGTTTCCCTTCGGAAAACAATTACGCCTTTGACCAATATCGCAATAGGCATTGAATTATATCCAATGAAAAACAGTAGAGATAGAAAATTATTTTCAACACTAATTTGGTTGGATTTTAGAGAATTTAACGCATCTACAGGTTCCATTAAAGATTGGAATCGATTATGTATAGTTCTTGCTGAGGACTCCTAATGAGAACAAAAGCAGACCAAGAATGATGTTCTTCTTAGTAAGCAAAATCAAAGCTAAAGTGCTCAAAATAATTATCTTCCAGGATATAATGCCTGTTGCGATATTAGCAAAAGTAGTAATTATTTTCTGGAGGAAAGATGTCGCTCGTATTATTTTGTGAGACTGGATTTGTGATAATATTGTTTTTCTATATTTTACGTATTGTTCACATTTGAGTTTAGAGTCATTTCCCTTCCATTTTTACGCTTAATTCTATTTTACTTTCCAATTCCTATAATTGACCATAACTTCCTCGGCAATTCCTCGCTAATTCTTTGGCAATCTCTGTAATTCCGCACCAATTGCCTGTCAATTCCTACAATTCCCTATCAAATTTATATTTATACAGGGTGTACCAATAAAAACTCCCAGACCGGATATTTTCGTAAGTAATAGAGATATTTTAATTCTGTAAAAGTTAGTTCATAGAGCGCTAAGAGAGCTTCAGTTTTAGATATAAATTAATTTTAAATCGGTCATTATGTAGATGGCGCTGCGCTCAATAATTTTTTTTTCGATGGGAGGATCTTTCTTATGTAGCGCATCTTGTAAAAAATGCATTTTTAAACAAATTTTGTTTTAATTACTAATTCAATAAATCTAGCCATTTTTTATATACAGAGTGGGTCACTCAAAACAGTTTCATCCTGTTTTTCGGCATTAATCATTAGATTTTTAGAAAATGCTTAAACAGGTCGATTTTTATTCCAAATTAAACACATTTTTACAATACAGACATCTGTCATGTGTCAACTCCCTCCCTTCCACTTCTGCAACCCCTTAATTTTAAATAAGGAATGTATCATGTACGGCACATCATTAAAAAGGTAATTTTATGGGGAAGTCAGAAATATGACAGTTTATTGCGATACTTTTAATTTTAGCGCCCTCTATCAGAATAAAAAAATCTGTAACGTATTATAAAGTGTGACACTTCATCTGAAAGCTAATTTAATTACTGATTCAATGCACCACATAATATTAATATAAATATTTCCATATTGCACTTGCAACAAAATTAATTTAGCAATAATGTTTAAAATAATGCATGACTAATTTTCAAACTATTGCAAGTGCAATATGGATATTTATATTAATATTATGTTATTAATTAATGTTATGTGGTACATTGAATTAGTAATTAAATTTGCTTTCAAATAAGGTGTCACACTTTAAAATTCGTAGTTTTTTATCCCGATAGAGGGCGGTACAATTAAAAGTATTACAATGAACAGTCATATTTCTAAATTCCCCATAAAATTACCTTTTTAATGATGTACTACACATTGTAGTATCACACTCTATAATACGTAGTAGTTTTTTATCCCGCTAGAGGGCGATACAATTTAAGTAACGCAATGTATAGAAATATTTCTGAATCCCCCATTAAATTACCTTTTCAATTATGTGCCATACATGGTACATTACCTATTTAAAATTAAGATGTAAAGAAGTACAAGGGAGGAGGTTGATACATGACAGATGTCTGTATTGTAAAAATGTTTTTAATTTGGAATAAAAATTACCTGTTTTAGCATTTTCTTAAAATCCAATGATTAATGCTGAAAAACAGGATTAAACTGTTTTAAGTGACCCACTCTGTATATCAAAAATGGCTAGATATATCGAATTAGTTCATAGAACAAAATCTGCCTAAAAATGTATTTTTTACAAGATGCGCTACACAAGAAAGGTCCTGCCATCGAAAAAAATTATTGAGCGCAGCGCCATCTACATATTGATCTATTTAAAGCCAATTTATATACAGTGTGTCTGAAAAAGTTGGCAACAAATGGGAAACTTTTTTATTATTAAGTTTAGGAAAAAACGTCATTCTTCATAAAAAGTTCTGTAAGGCCTAAAACCCAATATACGATAATCAGATATCGAAATTTTCCAATCGTATACGAGGTTTGTCAAAAAGTATGAATTTTGCTCAAGAGTAAAGTACCTTTATTTTCGACAATATCTAAAATTGTTATTAAGAAAAGTTGATTAGAATTGAAAACTACGTTTAAATAAAGGTACTTTACTCTTGAGCAAAATTCATACTTTTTGACAAACCTCGTATAAGATTGGAAAATTTCGATATCTGATTATCGTATATTGGGTTTTAGGCCTTGCAGAACTTTTTATGAAGAATGACGTTTTTTCCTAAACTTAATATTAAAAAAGTTTCCCATTTGTTGCCAACTTTTTCAGACACACTGTATAAAACTGAAGCTCTCTTATTGCTCTGTGAACTGGCTTTGACAGAATTAAAAATCTCTATTATCCGACCTGGGAGTTTTAATTGGTATACCCATATCAATTCCCTAGTAATTCCCTAGTAATTCCTTAATTACTCAAAATTCATAAAAATTCCTCTTGATTCTTTAAATTCCTTTAAACCTGTAAATTCCTCATAGTTTCCTATCGTTGTACACCCAATTTCTCCAGTGATATATTTCTAGGAGTTTTCTATTTGCATACATAGAGATGCTATGATAAATGAACCTCACTTTATTTATTCCAAATATCATAAAGAGTTTCCCTGATATCTTCGACTTTTTCATCATTAAATCTCTTATTCAACTGAATAACTGTTTGTTTATTGTTTATTAGGCAGTAATCTCCTTCTGAAAAAATGTCTACCATTTATACCTACCTATATATAATATACACATAACCAAACTTATATGGAATCACTCTGTATTTCTCATTAAACTTTTTGTAAGGTAAAAATTTGGTATCCAACTTTGAGATAAGGCTTTTTGTTCTAAACGAACATGATAATAAAGAAGAAACGACTGCTGCGTAAAATCACGATTCTCCGGTAATTTTATTTCGGTCCCAAAAAACCAAAATATATCTTATTAGACTTATAGATGTGCAGAGGGGAAGAATTATTGTACAGTAGGAGAGAGTTACGGGTCCCACAGTTATCTAGGTAAAATAAAATTGACCGGCTAAATTGGTGCCTTCAACACCAAAACTGGTATGAGACCAGAATTGGCCATCGAAATCAACTTTTCAGAGCTCCAGGCAGACGAATAAGACTCCAGGCTGCTAGATCTGTCCCAAGATATTAAAAAGGAATTGTAGTGGTCTAGGAAGGTATTATGCTGGGGGGGGGGGCAAAAACTCCATTTTTATCACTTCAACAAACTTTAACCTGTCGGAGGTATATTGATTTAGTGCTAGAACCAATAGTTGGTCTTTGGAGAAACGAAATTGGGGATAATTTTATCTTCATGTACGATAATGCAACTTCCCATACAATCAGTGAGGAACGATAATGTCTTTAAACGGAAGGTGTCACAGTTTTAGACTCGTCTGCATGTTCACTAGACCTAAATCCTATCGAACACTTGTGGGACCAGCTCAGAGAAAGGTTAGAGCTCGTCAAAGCAATGCAGGAAATGTCGCACAGCTTCTTGATGCAGAATTAGCAGAATAGAAAAACATACCCCGTCATTAAACGGTTTCGTACGATTACGAATCTGTGACGGTGAACGAGCAAACTTGAAACAGCTATTTTTGAACCGTTTGTTAAAACAAAAGCGCAAATTAAAGTCGCTTCTACGTTTAACAATCAACGAAATTTTACATTTGGTAGATGTGTTGTGATTTGTAATGTTCGCTTTGCGTTTAATTTTATCAAATACGCCAAATGGAAACTAAAGTAATG